TCGACCAGCACTGTGGGCACATGTACTTCAAGCAAGTCTCGAGCGTACGACAACACGAAACCTTTCCCTCCAAAAGCAATCTGGAACCTACGCATCTTGGGGGGGCCACATTTATGCGCCATATGTTTAACTCCACAAAAAAGCAATCTAAAACCCGTGCACTAAAGCAAAACCCTCTCCCTGCACCTTCGAAGGGTCTGCCATCTGCGCGACCAGCTCCTGTTTTTCATGTTGTGGCTCGGGGCATAGGCATGACACAAGCCAGAGCCAGAGCTCTGAGGTTTGAGGCAAGAGTGTAGTATAGGGGCCTTGAAAATTAGAATAGGCTTTTGGGCCTAATTATACTGCATCTAAATATAATAAGGAACCCCCAAAAGAGTTCAAAAGAGTATTGGTAATTATTTAGGCCCCTGCAGTAGGGCTTAGGATACTCAGGCCGAAAGCGTCCGAGTTATCACCCCGTTGCAACTGCTAGGGAGTGCTGAGCTGTTGCATTATCCCTAAAGTTTCAAGTACTCCCTAGTATAGGACTTTGGGGGGCCTTTTGGGGTACCAAAACCCATGAATAAGGACTACTTGGACCCTTAGGGTATGGCTTCAAGGGCCTTAACAATTAGAACATGGTATTGCGATAAATGTATGCATGCATCTATGTCGGTCGGTCGGTCGTTCTGCAGACAGGCAGGCAGGGAGGGAGGGTATGATGTAAGTGTAGGGTATGTAGTATATACAGCTTCAGCCATAAGCGATGTTACCTATGTATGCTTGCATGCTTGTCTCCGTGTGTATGTATGTATGTATGTATGTATGTGTGTATGTGTGTATGTATAAATGTATGCATGCATGCAAGAATGTAGGTATGTATGCATGTAGTGTCTGTCCGTCTGTCTGCCTGGCCGTCTGTCTGTATGTATATATATATATATATATATACATACATACATACATACATACATATTCACACACACACACATGAAAGTATGTGCCAAGGGCTCTTCCAAGGATTCGTTCAGGGTTCTGTAGTTCGGGACTTAAAGGGGGGATAAGGGTCCAGGTACGCAGATAGTGTTATGTACTGTTCCCAAAGTACCTATATATGTATGGATTACTTTAAGGCTCAGGGAACGGGTGCAGTAGGGATCAGTAGGCTTGTGAGTCAGCGAGCCTGAAGTTATAAGCCATCTTGGCAGAAACGAGTTGTGGCGCATTCTCAGGGCGCCTCCACACATCTCTGAAACAGCATCCGCCGAACGCCAAAGAGGGGCCTGCAGCAACTGGCCGAAGCTTGCTGGAGAAACAGAGGGTTTTTCCATGTTGATTCCGAACCCCACTCGGCTAAGGCAACAATACTGACCCAAGAAATCCTGAACCTGCGGCGTTACAAGCCCGACAATGACAGGGGACAAAAACCTGAAGCGCACATGGATGGTTGTCAAAATCCTGGTCCCTTTTTGGGTCCCTATTCTAGTACGGCACCTAATTTTTAGGGTACCCCAAAAGGGACCCTAATATTTACAGCTACCCACATACCCTCCACCTTCCAGGAATGGATCTTCGGAGCCCATTTGGAGCGTCGGGGGACTTAGTAACTGGCTATTTTAGGGACTTCTAAGTACCATAACCCCAATTAGGGCCCCTTTTAGGGTACTTATAAGTCTACTTACTAACTACTTACTAAGTCCCCCGACCCCCCAAGCATTCAGAAGTCTGCTAACATTGAGCCCGGCCCCTTTTAGGCCTTGAGGGCCCTCGAAGTCGACCTCAACCTTCGGAAAATGGCTACTGCCGAATTACGCCCTAAACCCTAAACCAATTTCAGAGCCAAAAATCAGGGTTTTGGGTTTAGGAGTTTTTTTTTTTTTTTTTTGTCGCTCCTTGGGTTTAGGAGTTTAGGGTTTAGGGTTTATAGTGTAGGGAGTTCGAAGAGCTTCAGGTAGGGGCCTGGCTAGATCTCAGGGCGCATTTTCAACCCTGGATTTCCAAGCAATACTGTCGGGATTTGCAAGGTTAACTAAGAGCATGCTTTTATATATCTCTATATGCATATATATATATAGAGAGAGAGAGGTTGTACTAGAGACTTTCATGCAGGCTTTTATGAAATGCCTGTCACAGCTGGTTATGACTGCGCATGAACCTTAAACATGTGCCAGCCTGTCCCAGTCAATCTCGCCCTGCGCCAAATTCCCGTGGAACCAGGTCGGTGGCGGGTACCAGAAGTTAATGCTGACGACCTGAGGCGGCTCTGGAGTATATAGTTTGATTAAAAGGATCTTTATATGTATCATGTAGTTGAATTTCGTTTGTCACCCTATTGCGGGAATTTGTCTTCCTGTCTTAGCCTACTGTTGCACCCAAAGGCCCTAAACACAAAATGCGTTCGAAACTTGATCCAGTGAACCCTGAAACGTTTAAATTTCTAGTTCGCGCACCTCGACGCCGAAACCAAACCGGGGTTCAACTGGACTTACTGCACGGGCTGGAGCTTCAGGTTTCGGGATTTGAGCATCGGCCTCCGATGCGTTTCCGATCTGATTGAAACCCTGGACTTCAAACCCTGCACACGAAAGCCGGCGTGATAGGACCCAGAGCCAGTCGGTGTGCAGCTTGAGCCAACGTTTCAGACGGCGAAGGGTGAGGAAGGGTGAAGGTGACTCCTTTGGTTTAGAACACAGAGGTTTAGGGTGTGGGGACTACGCTTCCTTTTGAAGCAACGGGAGCGCTGGAATACGGACCCCACCCGAAACTATGAACTCGCACTGCTCTGCGCGAAGCCCAGACGCCTCATCTGCCGGGGAAGGCAACATTTCAATGTGATGCCACCAGCCAGGAGGAAGATGCCTGAGTAGCAGGAAACAACAGCAGCTTGCACAGTCCTAGATGCGTTGGAGCCTGTGACAGATGGGGTTGGGCCATGGCGGGCTAAAAACAGTACCGGCGATCGATTGTAAGTTGACTAAATATGCCCAAAGTAGTTCCTTTGTGGGGTTCATTTTTAGAATTCAATAAGGTAATCCCAAAAAGGAACTACTGTGGGGCCTATGGGTGTGTAAAAATATGCATCATTGAGACCTTCCTGCAGCTTGTCCGAGAGATGATCTGATGCGTGGAGTCAGAGCACCGCAACAAATTGGGGAGTATGTTCTGGGCTTTGAGGTAACCAGGGGGAAACAAGTATAGACGTTTATTTCATAATGGTTCCCTTTCAGTAACAGGTCGCGAAAAAGTATTAAAGTATGGTACTCCAAAGCCCAGTGTTTGGGTTTTATAGGGGTGATACGGCTGATGGACAAAATCCTGCATTACCCGTAAGAAGGAATACACCATAATTCCCTTAGTTTAGGGTCCTTGGGGTAATGCAGGATTTTGTCCATCAGCAGTAGTACCCCAGAAAGGTTAAAGGCTACCTACTCTACTATACTAGGAAGATACATGTATTAGCAACCTACTTTCTTCAAGGGAAGTCGGTTTGCACATCCTGTAAGAGTCACAACTTCAACATCAACGTTGCTATGATTCTTCGACAGCAGAGCTTCAAACCCCAATGGGTTCTTTTCGAAATTACAAGTATGATGTGGGGAAGTACCCCCCCCCCCGCCCACTAAGCAGTACGGACGACCTTGGGAGAAGTACATCAAACTAACACGAACTGAGCTTGACATCCGGAACTCGATGCCCAGTCCAGAATCCCGATAAAGGCTGTGGAGGTTGCAAATCTGGGATAAGGCCATCGCGGCTTTTCAATGTTTAAGGGTGGGTACGCAGGTTTAAAGCCTTCAGGGTAGGGAGTCCAGGCGATTTCATCATGATTTGGATGGGTTGTCAAGGTTTAAGGCCTTCGGGCTAGGGAATTTGAAAGGGTTTCTGAATTTGGGTGCGTGTTAAATAGGCTTAAGGTTGTCGGGGTAGTGAATTAGGGTGCACTTAGTCGTTTGATTGGGTTTCCAAGTTTAACGCCTTCGGGGTGGGGAATTTGGGTGGGTTGGCTGGGTGTTCAGGATTAATGCTTTCGAGATAGGGGATTTGAGTGGGCATCATCCTTTGGGCGGATTTTGCAGGGTTTAAGGCCCTTGGGGTAAGGAATCCGGGCGTGCTTAGTCAATCGCCTGGGCTTTCAGTGCTGGTACAGGGTCTTTAAAGCCTTCGGGGTGCACTTACAGCCTTCAGGGTAGGGAGTCGTGAAGGTTTTATGATTTGAGTTAGCGGCTAAAATGCCGTTGGACGAAGGAATCTGGGTGGGTTTATTTTCAATTCTCCGGGGTTTCGGTGTAGACCCTGGCCCTACAGTGTAGGCCCAGAGATCCCAATACCCCTTAATTAAGGAATAATATACCCTTAAAGTATAGAGGCCTTAATATTATGATTTGAGGTATATACTTTAATCAAGGGGTATTGGGATCTCTGGGATCAGGCGGGTGGGATTTCAGGAGTCTAAAGCCTGTAGTTGGAGTTTGGGTAGGCTTAGTCAGCCTGCGGTAAATGTGGATTGCATCAGTCGTGTGGCTTTTCGGGGTTATGCGAGTTTAAGGCCTTTGGGGTAGAGAACTTGGGCGGGTTCCATGATTCGGGTGGCTTTCCAGGCTTAGGAGCCTGTCTTCGATCCACCTGAGGAAACATCTCCAATTAGAACATACCGACAAGCCCAAACCCAACATCAAATGTTTGGTTTTGACCCAAAACTTCCGCAGAAGGATTAAAGTATATACCTCAAATCATAATATTAAGGCCTCTATAATTTAAGGTATATTCCTTAATTAAGGGGTATTGGGATCATGTCAAGTGGTAGTCTGACACGCTTGACACGCATGGGCAACATTTTCGCCTTTCAGTTTTACCTTCCTCGCTGTTGCAAGCGCTTGTGACCTCGAAGTCACTGGCTATACAGCTATCGTAGTCAGCGGATAGAAAGCGAAGGACTTGATTCTGACGGGTAGAGCATTTAGAGCATTAGCATAGTACTGTCTCGCCACAGTGCAGCCGCGGGCTTGAGCCGACGCGTTCTAGTCCGTCACGTGGTACCCCCGCCTCTGCCAGCAGCTGGGACAGCAGCCGGGCACCGACCGGCAACGGCTGCAGCCTTCGGGCTGCCTCCTCAAGCACTGCTTGCGAGTGATGGGCGTGAGCTTCTGCAGCTGCTTTTTTGTCAGCTTTGTTGGTGGACGGCCGCGACGTTTGCCTGTTCTCTTTGCAAGCTTCTCGGCAGCGGTGGTGCCTTTCGAAAGCCCTGATTTCTTCCCTTTTGTTGAAGTGCTGTTCGTCATCATCGATCTTTTGGCTCCGGGCTTTTTCTTCTCGTCCACTTCCCGGCCAGTCCAATCCTGCAAGGACTTCCGAGACCTGGTAGCCCCACTCACGCAGCTTGCGGCGAGCATCTCTGCCTCCTTCTGCGCCTTACGGACGGGCATCATTGCGAAAGTCTTGGCCAAGTTCTTCTGGTAAGGTCCCACCTCCAGGGTGCTAGAGACTGGAGGAGGCGGCAATGAGACGTGGCATGTGCAACGGGACTTCAAGGGTCACTGGCTTTGCACATGTGGCAAACTTGCAGCTCCAAATGCTTAAGGCCATAACTCCCGGTATGCCTTGGCAGCGAAACTAGAGCCCTTTGTACGGTTTAGGGCTTAGAGCTTAGGGTTAGGGTGGATTGAGCCGCCTTGCGTTGATCCTCGCCCAGGAGCACAAGCACCGGGAGCAGGAATCGTCGCCAACCACCTCAACCAGATATCTGCAAAGCAATCTGACCCATTAACTTTGTCATACAATATTTTGGATCTGAATGTTTCTGCAGCATACCAGCCGATTTTAGCCCCAGCTATAAGCTTGCAGAAGCCCAGTGCGAACGCTTGCGCCCAACATTCTCGGCGCCTGGAGACTGGGGTTCGAAGTGCTTGTGGGTTTGCTTCAAAAAGACTTTGAGCTGCACGGCGAAGTCTTCGGGAAGAGCTTTTGCCTCTGCAAGACAGGGTTCGTATTACGCCTGGGACCTGAACTGGCTGTGTTTGAATGTGCAGTCGCATGTATTGCAAGGATCACATGAGTGCAGGCCAGAGGTAGTGGCCTCTTGCAGTGCGCAGTTTGGGACTGCACGTGGTGGAAGGGTCCATTCGCACAGGCCAGCTAAGGTCTACTGATTTCAGTTTCTGCATGATCTCATCCGCGCTGCCTTTCGCTTAAGGACGCTGAATTTCTTCTCGAACTCCTTGGCACCGCCGACATTGCTGGAGTCGACATTGAACCTTTGTGTTTGATGGGAGCGAGTGGTGCAGGCTCAAGTGGACAAGGATGGATTAAACTTGCAAGTGCGAAAACTGTACCCAACCCAGTATAGCTACGTAAGCGACGAAAAGTTAACTGACCTACTTCAGAACTCCATGCGTTTCGACGGGCTAGGGGCATTCCAAGATTTCTGGCACTGGACAGGAACTCACAGCACCTCAGTCATTTTGAGCTAACATACCACACGTCCATGAAATTGCGCGACGAGTGCTTAGAATCGTTGACCACACGAGCAAACAAATTCTCTCCACACCAATAGAAATCGCCGATGACCTGGTTGAACTTGCACAGTAGTCACGCCCGGAACAGTAGCGACAAGGATCAGCGTAACTATTTGCGAGAGGACAACACAACGACAAACGTATACGCTGGGCTTCAACATGCTCAAGATCGCGGTCATTCATCAAATCGCCTAGCACAGATCTAAGACCCTTACAATGACATTGGTTCTGACAAGAGAAGCCACTGCAATAAAATAACCACGAAGATAAATTCCCGAAGCATTCCCAAAGTGGAATGTAGCGAAACCATACTCCCACAACAGAACACCAATTGAGTTTATCCCAACCAATCTTGCCAAGAAGCAAGTCCCAAGTTGTCTCAAGCGTGTGAGCGATAGTCTTGGCAACGTTGTCGGTCGCTTGCTGAGTCATTGGCCTTATATATCGAAAGAAGCCACTGGGCGGTTATAACCTCCACATTCAACATTCAACTGCGGGTGAGTTGCAGAGTGTTGATCTGTTTGAGCAAGGGGTTGCTCCACAGAAAAGAAAAGCCAGCCTTGCCCAAGGCCATGCGCACCGACGGGGATGCCAGTTCGTATTTGCTGCACGTGAAGAACACCAACGTGCATCGGTCACCTGGCATCTCTTATGACTCTTATTCTTCCGTTGAGCGTCTCATCACCATGCGCAGCAACAGCGCACACAGCAACGATCACTACAAAGAACAGGAACTAAAACTGTAGACACAGTAGAGCAGTGTACAGATAGACCTGCAAGAGCGGCACGTAACAAAGAATAGTAAGGGGTCTTCGCTTGCGCGAATGCCCCTTTGTGCGTGCGTGCGTGCGTGCGTGCGTGCGTGCGTGCGTGCGTGCGTACGTACGTGCGTGCGTGCGTGCGTGCGTGCGTGCGTGGGTGTGTGTGTGTGTGTGTGTGTGTGTGTGTGTCTGTGTGTGGGTTGTGTGTGTGTGTGTGCGTGCGTGTGCGTGTGCGTTCGTGTGTGTGGGTGTCTGCGTCTCGTGCCTAATTGTTAGGCCCGAGACCCAAACAGGCCTAACTGAACTGATACATACATATATACGCACATTCATGCATACATTCATGCATGCATGCTGGTGTCTGTCCAACCTGGTTCCTATATATTTGTTTCGTGTTCGGCTTTGGGCAATTCTTGTTGTTCGGGTGGCTTTCCTTTCGGTGAAGAAGGGAGGGGGCTCTAATGATCTCTCGTTTGCTGTCACGCCTTGAAACTCGTGCATGATCATTATCCGTTCCTAATAACATCCTAGGCATCTGGTCTAAGCTCTGTTGGAACGTCTGATGCTTTCACGTAATTACATACATGTTCATACGTTTTCCTAGGGAGGTTTTGGCATAGATTCTGCTACTCTTCCACGATACCTTTCAACTTGGTGGCCTCTTGTTGCGCAATACTGGTACTTATGTGGTCTTCATGTATTTGCTGTTGGAGTACAGGGCCTTGTCCTTTACTGTTGCGGGGTTCTTGATGTCGATGTCATATATGTCTGCCAAACGATGATCCTGCACACGGTGTGGTTCACCGTGTGGTTTGTAGTACTTCGAGCTTGTCTCAAGCACAGGTACTTTGGGCTCCTCTGGACTATGTGAGATTACTTCTTTGCCAGCTACACCGCCTAGTCTGTGAAACCGTCTGACGACGATGATCATAATTCTCACTTCCTTGCTTCTATAAGTTGTGGCATCAACTCAATTTTTTCGCTAATCACCTGGTTCAGCATGTGCTCGAACCCACTATAATTCCAAATGACCATCGCGCTCTTCCTGATAACGAGTCTGCAGAGCCAATCATGTGTTGACAACACGGTTTTGCGCAACCAAACGCTGACGTGCAAGCGGCCCGGATTCACTCAAGAACGTGTCGCCTTGTTTGTTTGTCAGGTTGTTTAAGTTTGTTTTGTTTTTTTTTGTGTGTGTGTGTTTGTTTGTTTGTCTGTTTGACTACATGTTTGGTGGCGCCTGTGTGTTGACATGTTTGTGTGCCTAGTTGTTTGTTGTGTGTTTGGTTGGTTGCTTGTTGCTCTTCGCCTTTGTATCTGCGTCCTTGTGCATGTGTGCGCGGTGGTATGTCTATATGTGCACCATTGTGTAACCATACGACATGCGAGTGCTGTTGCGCGTGTCGGCTAATTAACAACTGGAACCTGTAGATATCAAGTCGATCTAATCATTTATCCGAAATTTTGATATTATTTATATGCACTCACATGAACTTCTTCGACGAATCTTCGATGTTATACCTGTTCGCATTGACTGACGTGCTTGTTGTCTCACTCTGTAAAAGCGTTTGTCCAGCTGCTTGGGTTCTTCTTGAAAGCTTCGTACTTGAGCCTCGCCCACACCCTCACCCTCACCGCACAAACGCGCGCACACACACAAACACATGCGCACGCACAGAGACAAACACCCTCACAAACACAGAAACACACCCACACGCCCACACGTCCACACTCCCACACACGCGCACGCACACACACACACAAACACACACACACACACACACACACATACACACGCACATCCCATCCACACGCACACGCGCACCCACATGCACACCCACACCTCAGATATGGCACATACAGACATACACGTCTACACACATATACGCATAGAGACATGTAAGCACACATACACAGAACACACACTTGCAAACATACACACATGCCCGCATACACACATACACACCTACAAGCACACGCACACACACACACACACACAACACAGACGAACAACACACACACACACCACATCCAAACACGCACACACACACAGGCACCATACATATGTGTGTATATATATATATATATTATAAACATATGCACACATGAATAAATAAGTGCATGTATATATATATATATATATGCACGCACAAATGTTATCTATTTGTGAATCCACGTACATATATTTAGAACGGGGGACCCTGGGAGTGCGCCTCTGCCGTGATTTACGCGCGCGTCTTTCAAAAAAACAAACAAACCATAAAACTAAAAAAACAGACAAACCAAAAAAACCATAAAAAAAAAACAATAAAAACCAAAAAAACCATAAACACCAAAAAAACAATAAAAACCAAAAAAACCATAAAAACCAAAAAAACCATAAAAACCAAAAAAACCATAAAAACCAAAAAAACCATAAAAACCAAAAAAACCAAAGAAACCAAAGATCTGACACTCTCCGGCCATGGACACCTCAGTCCAGGAGTCTCTGATAATTGGTTTTTGTGGTTTCTTTGTTTTTTTTGGTTTTTTTGGTTTTTTCGAAAGACTCGCGCGTAAATCACGGCAGATGCGCACTCCCAGGGACATAACGTAGCATGGCCAACGTATACGACTAGATAGCAGTGCGAAAAACCACACTTGCACATCAGCACTTTTTGTTCTCATGATGATGAGAAGCTTTGTGGGTATGCGAGGCGCATCAGAACTACAGCGACGTCACCTTGAGTGCAGACTTCATATCGTACACACACAAGCAAACACTACATAGTTCTATATGGATTGCTATTTGGGTATCCCTGCTTGACTTCATATAGAGACTTATATACAATAAGATAACATATAATCAAGATTATGAACATCGACAATAACGAACCAGTATCGTAATAACGAACATGAGATTAAAGATTAAACTTCTATTAGTATCCAATGACAATATTCAAATTTAGCAAATATTTTTCTTATACAATAACATTATGATAAGCAAATAAACAATTATACAAACAAATGAAATAAGCTAGATTCATTAATTATGCCTTCGTCATTCTTGTAGGCTACTCGGGCCTGCGTGACAATTATCTGTCGAACTCCGCTTGTTTTACAGTAACTACCATTTTTAGTGTTAATACGAGGACTATTAAATGGGTCTCTGAAATATATAGGTAGATACCGATTCGTCGATACTTTTTGTGAATATTTTTCAAACAAAACAAAGTGTATAGTACTGGTGGTTATACTGTTGTAAATTGGTATAGTTATTCAATCTTATTATAATCTCACATAGGCTCTTCTTAGTATACTAGAAAACTTGGATGTGTATAGATACCTGTGCGTGGGAAATATGTAAGTATGCATGTGTGCTATATATATATATATATGTATATGTATATATACGTGAATATGTATGAGTACCTATTTTTGAAATGCATGTGTCAACTGTGTTGATACAAAAAATAAAGTACTAGTATTGTTCTATGTGAAACCTTGTTTTCTTTCGCAAGTAAAAACTGAAGGCATAATTAGTGAATCTAGCTTATTTCATTTGTTTGTATAATTATATATTTGTTTGTCATAACGTTATTGTATAAGAAAAATATTTGCTAATTTTAAATACCGTAATAGGATACTAATAGAAGTTTTATCTTTGATCTCATGTTCGTTATTACGATACTGGTTCGTTATTGTCGATTTTCATAATCTTGATTATATGTTATCTTATTGTATGCAAATCTCTATATGACGTCAATTATTTGGAAGACGTAGGCTTTCCTAAATGGGTGCATATCTATATATTGTATTGGCCAACAACTTTATAAGCTTAAAGAACATATTATGCTTGTATGTTAAATTATATTTCGTTCGTGTTAGAGGATTTGTTCATTGATTTATATGTTTAGCTTGTCCACATATCAATATGCTTTCTATATTTCGATTATTCTTCTGAATATGACTATAAATGCAATATGCTAAATACATGTATGTGCCACTTTACAACGCATTTGTTGCTGGTAACCCAATATGCTTTTAATATTCCGATTATTCTTCTGAATATGACTATAATTAAAATATGATAAATACATGTATGTGCCACTTTACAACGCAATTGTTGCTGGTAATCTATAGAATTTCGGTTTGGTGTGTATTGAAAAGTTTCGTATATCTAGTGCTATTGTTGTCTATATTTGGATTGAATATTCGGTTATTATCTTAAAATGTATTGATAAGAGTATTAATGCAAAAGGCATGGTTGGTGATAATAATAGGAATATAATCATATAAAATATCATTTATAGATCAGAAGTTTGTACTACATCTAGAAGCATGCTCCACACCCAGATATGTGCATGTAACTATGTATGAATAGGGAAAAGTCGACATTTGTCGATTAATGTAAGGCACAGTATAATATGTGTATATATATATATATATATATATTCATATATATATATATATACTTATACATATGCCGAGCTCTCTATTATGCACAATGTCACACATACATATGAGGGTATATACACATATATATATATATATATATATATCCGTATTTGTATATGGATATTTATTATATATATATAGACATATGTATATACATTTATCCGTATATCTTTATTCTTCATATATATCTATGCGCATGATAGCCTCATCGAATGTAAGTGCGCCATCCCGCCCTCCAAGTTCACGAAGCAAACCTGGTATATGATCACCACGAAACTCCGACATGGCTTCAGAGATACGAAACGATAAAACCAAGAAAGACTGTTTGAGCTTCCGTGGCAACGATATAACAGCTTGCGAACGAGAAAGAAAGAATGTCAGTTGTGTACTCATACCTTGGTATACATGTGTGTAAAAAAAGTTGAATGAATGCTCGTTTAAGTATGTGTGCGTCTGCCTGTATCCTATTCTCGCAGGTGGTTCATTAGATGGCTCGACAATGCGATACTTAGATTTTGTGGAAAAAGGTGCACTCCCACAGCCCCCCGGACTCTGTATATTTATGTATACACACACCTACACACATACACCCACGCACACATACACACACACACACACACAAACAAACAAACAAACAAACAAACAAACAAACAAACAAACAAACAAACAAACAGCACCCACACAGCCACACACACACACACACACACACACACAAACAAACAAACAAACAAACAAACAAACAAACAAACAAACAGCACCCACACAGCCACACACCCACACACCCACCTACCCACACACCCACACACCCACACCCACCCACACACCCACCCACACACCCACCCACACACAAACACCCACCCACCCACCCGCCCACACACACACACACACACACACACACACACACACGCCCACCCACCCCCACCCACCCAACCCCCCCCACCCCCCCCACCCCCCCCACCCACCCACCCACCCACACCCGCACCCGCACCCGCACCCGCACCCACACCCACACCCACACCCACACCCACACCCACACCCACACCCACACCCACACCCACACCCACACCCACACCCACACCCACACTCACACAGACAAACACACAAACACACAAACACACACACCCACACACCCACATACCCACACCCACCCACACCCACCCACCCACCCCCCCACCCCACACCCCCACCCACCCACCCACCCCCCCACCCCCCCCCCCCCCACCCCCCCCCCCCACCCACCCCCCACCCACCCACACCCACACCCACACCCACACCCACACCCACACCCACAGAGACAAACACACACACACACACACACACGCGCGCACACACACACACACACCCACACAAACACCCTCACACACACCCCTCACACACACACACACACACCCACACAAACACCCTCACACACACCCCTCACACACACACACACACACACACACACACACCCACACCCTCACACACACACACACACACACACACACACACCCAAACCACTGAAAGCAACATCCCAAGCACGCGACGACTAATACTAACGGAAACGTTGATAATAACAATCCTCCGACGGTTTATATGTTGGACAACATGGCCTGTGAAAGGTCTTGTAGCATGCAGCTTGTTCCCATCGAACTCAAACCACCTTCCTTTAACCTGTACGTCGAAGCCCTGCACGACCATGTCCTTTTTGTAGTGGCTTCCTCTGACGTCGTGCGGGACGCGAAACTTGCTGTTGCCACCGGCGTTCTCAACGAAGACCTCGCCACCGGCATAATCACCGACGCCAGTGATGAGGCTGCTCCCCAAATTTCCGCCGTCCACGTGTGGCGGGCTGCGTAGGTTTATGTTTAACTGTACGCTGGTGAAAGGGAAGGCAGGCCTCTCTTGCTGAGCATACCTTGCGAAGAGCTTCGTGCAAAAGGGAAACTTTCGCGTGGCAGTGGAGATGTCGACCTTGTCGCCCCAAACATACAAGCCCAAAACCATTCCCTTGGCGGATGTAGTCTTAAAGCGCTTGCCAGGTGGGATCTGCATGAGGCTCACAACCTCTTGCACGAGGTGCTCGGAAATGCTGTTCGACTGGAGGGCATCTCTGGCAAGGTCTTCTGCGCTGGCTTTTAGCCCGGCTCTGGCTCTGCGCCCCATGGGCACTCGTAGATTCTGCTGCTAGCACGCACTCTGCCTTCAGGGTTACACTCAAAAGAGATTGTATCTGGTTCCTGGTTGCCTGCGCATGCACCAGTAGCAACGTTTGAGCTGGATCGTCATAGATAGATCATGCCTCGACCCTTATCTGCGGCCTATTCTTCACCTTGTCGCATCAACATTCTTATCACAAGCTCAAAGAAGGTGATCAAGTATGCGACAGTTCGGAGTCTACATAGATAACATGCAGCCATCCACATGCATGTCATGTGTCGTTCCTGCAACTCGTGGCAGCGGGCACTGTGCGATAGGCAACAATCCACCACCTCCTCAAACTCAAATCAGTGACTTTACAGCCCGCATCGTATTCGGCCACAAGACCCTTAAGCCGTTAAAGCCTTGCAGCCTCGAACAAAAGAAGCCTTGCGCCAGAGTTCAAGTCATCCACAACTCACCAGCACCCCCTAAGTACCCTTTAGTAGAGCCCTTATGTCCTTAATAGCGAGTAGAATAGAGGGTAGTTAGGGGGTGCTGGCAGACCCCAAAACCCTGTATCGAAAATCCGAACATCTTTAGCCCTGCCCAAACACCTCTAAGGCACTCGACTCTAACCCGGTTCACCCTAAACCCAAACCCCGACCCCTAAACCCGAAGCCCTAGACCCTCCCTTAACCTTTAAAACTTAAACCCATAAACCTCTAAACCCTAAACCCATCAACCCCTAAACCCCCGAACCCCTAAACCCCAAACCCCCAACTCAGGTCCGCCGAGCGCCGGGCAGCACATCGCCCGGACCCAGGATGGCCTCACAGGGAACTTGGAGGGTCGGGGGACTTAGCAACTGGTTATTTTAGGGTCTTTTAAGTACCATAACCCCAATTAGGGTCCTCTCAGGGTACTTCGAAGTCTACTTACTAACTACTTACTAAGTCCCCCGACCCCCCCAAGTAGGGCTTATGGGCCCAGAGAGCCCGATACCCCTCAATTAAGGAATATACCTTCGGGTTCTTTAAAGGGATCTATGGGGGATCTATAGGGTTTACGGTTTAGGGGATTCTAGATACCCGGAATAGACCTTAAATCATAATATTAAGGCCTCTATAGTTTGAAGAATATCCCTTAATTAAGGGGTATTGGGTTCTCTTGGGGGGGCCTTGAAGGGGTCCTTACTCCTTCTTTTTGAATCGCTTTAAAAGGCTCTGTAAGTACCTTAAAGGGGTCGTAAAGGCTTTGGGGGTTTAGGCTTCATTTAAGGTTCCTAAGATCCCTTTAAGGGTTCCTTTAAGGCTTCTATACGTGCTCACAAATGGTTCTGTCAGAGGGGTTTAATGGAGGGGGTCTTGCTGCGTCAGAATAGTAAGGTTTTTGGTGAGGTTTTTGGTATTGGGTGATCGGGCATCGACTTAAAGGCGTACAGGTCTTCCGTAAAGTAACCAAGGCACCCACCATGAAACATCCTTCGGTCATGTTCCAACTATTGGAATGTCGCGGCCGATTGGCTCAAGTTTCAGTCTGAAGTAGCTTCGAATCATGGAGAGGCTGACGAGATACTCAGCAATTGCCCCGTGACCAAAGAACTTGCAACTCCACGATGCTACTACTTTCACTTCCGGCACGATTCGACTTCAACCCATCGCATGCTCGAAGCATCAAACGTGCTACTGAAAGCAACCATCTTGACACTTATACACTCTCACGAAACTGATCGATCCTTTGGGATGCAGAGCCGCAAGGGCCGGACTTTCTGTGCCAGCAAAATCTCGTGCGTTCGAATATTGCAAAACAATCGGACAAACCCGCAGTGCAGCATTGCCTCCAATGCTTGGCCGCGCAGCTCCGCAAAACGTGGGAAAGCGGCTAGGTCCTTCCGAAACCGATCGGATTTGTTGCGCTGACTGCACAGGGCTCGGGGCCCGAAATCCTGAACCATTTACCCTAAACCCTACCCTGAACCGCAAACCTGAAACCTTAACCCAAAACTCTAAACAGTAAGCCCCAAATCCTAAACCTTAGCCCCTAAGCCCTGAACCCCCTAAACCCTAAAGTGCGTCTGGGGCCGGGCTCATGGAGTGTGAACGATCCTTCAAGCCTCGACTGGGGCTATAACGGTTCTTGTGGCTTGTCGGACTTGTGCCTCGTAAGCCTCAAACCCTCTGCCCTGGGTCGACTCTACTTAGAGGTTCATGGTACTTAGTAACTAGGGTAATAAATAAGGTAACATATACTTATAACTGGTTCTATGCCCAGTTAAGGTACTTACAACTGTACTTGCTAAGTCCCGTGAACCTCCAAGTATTGAGAGCCGAAAACGGCTGAGAAAGGCCGGGTCTCTGCAGCTAAGCTTGTCTTGGCTTTGGGGACTCATATAGACTTCCGAGGTTGGGGGTCTGTGTATCAGGGCAGGTGCAGGCAGGTTTATATCGCCCTGTGTAGTGCACAATGCTTCCTCAAGACCCCCCAACGGCTTATTGTTCGGTACTTTAAGGGTTTGCTTTAAGGGATCTATAGGGGTCCCTTCAAGGGCTCCTTTAAGGGATCTTCTGTAGGAGTACTGTTATGCGGGATACTTGCCCAAACCATAAAAGCACTTCTTGATATGGAAACTCACTACTATGTATAGTAGGTACTTTTAAGGACGTGGCCATCTTGCCGTAGCACTCTATCTCCGTCGAGTCATTTTTTAAAGCTAGTATGTAGGGGTGTTTAATTTAGGGTTTGGGGAGTTTTGGGTGTTTCGGGCCTAGGGTCAAGGGGCTCTACGTTTTTGTAGTATCCATTGTAGCTCCTTTCGTGGTTAACCAAGTAGGAACCTAACCGTAAAACTGGGTAACCAAAAGAACGAACGACGATGGAGACTATGGGTAGTAGGCTGCTTCCAAGCTCATGCCTTAGGCCTTTTCAAGGTCTCAACTGCTGCGAGGGCTGTGTGGTACTTGTGGGCGGAAGGCCCGGGGATGAATTACAACAAAAAGTGGACCAGGCGACAAACTCGGACAGTAGGGTGGAGAGGATTTGGGTTTGGGGTTTACCCAAAGGGTCCAAGTATAATTATAGTAGGTAATTAGCAGGTCTTTGGGCCCCCAAAGTATAGACTATACTATTTCTTGGACCCTTTGGGTTAGGGAAACTTGAGGCTTTCAAAGGGCGTGTCCGGTGCATCGAAGTCCACGCGACTCTGCCGATCCTGACACTGCGGACAGGAATGCTGAAGAAGAACTTCTTCTGGCTTACGGTGTATGGTGTAGGGTTTATTGGGTTCAGGTCTACGGATGTATTAACAAATGGCATTATCCATAATGACGAAAAAAACTAGAGTTCCCCTGGTCTTGGTAGGTATTGCCGGAATGAGTACGTCAGCAGTATCATTCTGAACCTCATATATAGATCCCACTTCGGCTCCACTTAAGTCTTGGTGTTGACGAAATATGGGGCTTGAATCATAACTAGAGTAAGGTTTCGGTACTTTGCACTATTATTATGATAAGCATCCCTGAACAGAAACACTACAGAAACCCTGCATGCTTCAACCTTTGTGGGCATCGTGGGAATATGTAAGAGTTGGGCCTGGGACCATCTCAAAATCAGGCCCCTTCACTTCGACTTCAGAGTGAGATGTGCTTTGTGATATGGGTGCCCTTAACGGTAACCCCTTTCTGTTCACCGCGGTTGCCAGGTTTGAGCAGCCCCCACATAGACTTAGAGTTACTGCACCACGTAGTGCACCACATTGCAAAAAACGCATTGCTCCTGGCAACCTGATCCAGGGACGGCCTATCTGCAAAAAGATGCAGACCAGATGACTCGAGTGCCCCTCGGCTTAGGCTTTAAGATTCCCTGCCTGAGGATGATGGACAGGCCACGGATAGAGGCAGCCGAAGTGCCTTCAACAGGCGGTCCGCATTCTAGGTGATTGAATATGATATGCGTTTTCTCATGCTGGACATGCATGCAGAAGACAAGCAGAGGAACGCGACAAGTCACGTGGTTGGCGACACAGAACTGGCAGACCTAGATTCGGGATACAGGGCGTACATGCCAACGACTACAAGCTGTCAAACATCATGCCAAACCCATGCTTCTGAGTGACTGGACATGATTTGGGTTAGGTATGCATGCGGTATGTGTGTGCCATCGGACAATTTCCCGACTCCATAGATAGAAACTTCATTGAAATCAATAGCCAGAAAACAGCAAGCACAACAACTCATTTTGTACCCGAAAGGAAAACCGGCTGCAATTTGTTGATGCATCGTAGGCACCAGAATTGTGTCAGTGACTTTAAGCTCGAACCGGGACGATCGAATCCAAGAGCTTAGTTGAAACCAATATATGGTGTCCAAGCTTACGACCTGAACCCAATCCCTAAAGCGCAATGTCTAAAACGTCAACCGAAGACCCTCTGAAATGGTGGTATTCGTGTAATGTTGCCGAAATGATGAAAACATCTTATTCAGCAGATACAGACAAGATTACCCTATTGTGGTTCTTAAATGAAGCTGGCTCCCCGCGCAGCCCATCTTGCCTGGGATGGAAAAGGAGCACACGCCTGAGCCAGCCGTGCAGCTGGTGCTCTGCTGCTAAGGACCCTAACCGACTCCAACCCGCAACCCTAAACCCTGCGGGGAATGCAAGAACCCAGGCCCCATGACAGCCCCGCTTCAAACCTTGAGGCCTTAAACCCTTAACCCACCCCCCAAGTGCCTTGAAGCACAGACCCTCAACCCTACATCATAAAGGTCCAACCAGGGACTCGGTCGCAACATACGTTGGCCTCAAAAGCTCTCCCTTGGTTTCCCAGTAACTGTCAGATCATGCGGATCCTTTCGTAAGTAATTATGACGAGGGTTGACAGCACCTCTGCAGAAGCAGGTTGTGAACCTCCATGTAACCCCTTCTCAATTTCTAGCGCAGCGCAGATCCCAACAAAGAGGTCCCCAGGCTCTTCCACAACACTAGCTCACATAAGTATATAGGATTGTTAGCATAGCTAAAGTTGTACATCTATAACTCGATAACCATTAATTATTGCAACAGCTACCCACGACCCCTGTGCAGCATATTAGCCCAGCGGATACAGAGGCACTACAGGTGAGGGATGATTTGTGATTTAGTGCATGGTTTAAGAACTCAGGGTTTCCACTACCCCTTAATTAACGAATATACCTTAAATCATAATATTGAGGCCCCTATTATCTAAGGTACATTCCTTAACTAAGGGGTATTGGGTTCTCTTGGGGGCTTGAGGTTCAAGGCCGCGGGGTCAGCGCTGAGACCCGTGAGCTAACAAATCCCTAAACCCTAAACCTGACGTCCCATAAACCCCACCTTAACCTGTAACCCGGAATAACCTACCTTTTCAAGGACTTATACAAAGAAATCATAATAAGGAACCCTAGAAGGTAGGATAATTGGGGTCTCTTTAATCCCTCAACCCCAAACCCCAAACACCGTTTCATGCTCAGCTGTCTGCGAAGTCCATAATGGCTCCGAAGCTGATCGACAGTTGAAGTTCAAAGACCCACGGTTTACTTAAAGGCTCATGGGACTTAGTAAGTAAGGTTATAAGTAGGTTATAATTAGGATAACCCCACTTCAGGGATTTACAACCCCAATCATAACCTACTTACTAAGTCCCATGATCCTTCAAGTAGGGTCTAAGGGTTCAGGGTTACATCACAATCCGACAAGCCTCAACCCAAAATCCTCCTAAACCCTAGGCAGGCCCCCACCCCGAAGTCCGCACCGGTACGCCTCTTTTGCGGATGCTGCAAAGCCGCCTAAGGAAGTGAAGCAGCTTGCTGGCAAGAGCATAGCTCGGGAGTGAAGAACACGTGCATGGAATCTACTTGGCGCACAGAGGCTCGATATGAATAACGGCCTAGGGCTTCGGGAATGAGCTCTAACGGCCCCAAAACTGAAGTCTAAACTCTAACTCTGAACTCTACGTAAGCCTTAACCCTGAGCCTAGATCCTGAATTCTTAGGCTCAAACTCTAGACTCTAGAGCAAGAGCTTCTAAGCGGCCCAGGCTGTGCAGATTCAATCTATGTTTGAGCCTTGACCCAGAGAACCCAATACCCCTTCATGAAGGGCCTTGATTTAAGGTGGTTTCCTTAATTAAGGGGCATTGGGATCTCTGTGGGTTAGAGCCTCTCAGCCCCTTCAGTCGCTGTAGCTGTCGCTTTCTTCATCGGCACGTGCCTGTTGCGAGCTTTCTGGCTCAGGGGCTTCGTCCTGTGTGGCCCACTTTTGGTTGGACCGTCTGCCGGTTTAACATCTCGGGCTCAGAGATTTAGATGGTTTCTTTTGAGATGTCGGGGTTCCAGCTGCTGTTCATGCTGACACTGGTGATGGTGCTATCATATTATTGACGCGGTGGTGATGTTTGTTGTGGGTTTTGATGCTGATGATCCTGCATCTGCTGTTGTTGCAGCCGACCGCCGACACGGACAACTTCAGCGACGGCCACAAACACGACGACATTATGATGACGACGAAGATGAGCATAGCATTGTTGGTGTTGACGATGATTGACAGTGTTGTCGTGGTTGATGTTGCTGATGATGGCCGCGAGAAAGACAGTTGCCGTCGACGTGCTGATGGTCGATATATCGATATGGTGGGAAAATCGTTGACGCTTACGACGAACATATTGGTCACACCAAACACAAAACAAGGAAAAGGCTAAGAAAAGTAATAAACCTAAAAGCATAAAACTACGACTACGAACGAAAATAATAATTAGTAGTCATGTTAAGAAGAGGATACGATTACGACTACGAACAAGAACGATCAGAACACACAACATTATGATGATTCCGATGATGACGACGGTGATGATGCTGGTGATGATGTTGGCGATGATGATGACGATTTTGGTCATGATGGCGATGATGATGATGATGATGATGAGGAGGAGGAGGAGGAGGAGGAGGAGGATGGCGATGGTGATGGACACGACGATGATGGTGGTGCTGATAATGATGATGAAGGAGATGAAGACAAGAACGAACAACATGACCGCGGCAGTGGTGATGCTGCTGCTGATGAGGATGATGGTGATGGTGGTGGTGGCGGCGGTGATGATAATGCTGGTGATGCGACGGTGACTGTTGGGATCATGGTGGTGGACGATGGCGATATTGATGACGACCACGGCCATGAAGATAGTGCAGAGCGGTCAATTCCAACAATGCATGATGATATGATGCTCGTGGAACTGGTTTCGCTATGATGCTGCTGACCAAGACTCGTATAAGAACAACCCCGTGAACCCCTTTACCCCCCTCCCCCCCGCCGACCCGCTGCAACCCAAAACCCTAAACCCTAAAACCCCAAACCAAAAACCCTAAACCCTTAATTAACCCTAAACCCACAAACGCGTGCCTTCGGCTTTGCCTTGGGCTTGAACTTCGGACGGCCCTTCGCCTTTGCCGCTGCGCTGGCAGCGGTTTTGTCCTCCTTTTCGAAGGGGAAAAGGAGGGACCCTTAATGGGGACCCCTACCCTATAATGGGCTATAGAATGGGTATAAAATAGCTATATTAAGGGTATATACCTAGGGGTCCTTCTTAAGGGTCCCTCCTTTTACTCTTGGACCTTCTGTTTAGCGATTCGAAAAAATTGATTTCGCCTCGTGTTTCAGCTGTAGGACCGGTTTAGCCTTTGGCATCTGGCTTGTAGGCTCTAAGCCTGGGGCGATATTCTAAGGACCGAAAGCGGACGTTGATAGAGTTTTATCCTGGTGTTCAGAGTTCTGGGTTTCTATCAGCCGGAAAGCGAAAGTATAAACATAGTGTTCTCCATGGCTACACGGTCTCAGACAGGCTTGGATTTAGGATTGCGGGGCTTCCATCAGGGTAACATACCAATGGTATGCGTATGAGGGTTGCTAAATCTAACGAAAGTAGTAGAGATATTGTCATAGGGGAGTACCATCAGGGTTGCCATGAGGGTTACTATGAGGGCCACTAGGACGGTTACGATAAGAGTTGCCACAAGAGGTGGAGGGATCTTCGGTTTTTTGGGGCCTAAAGGGTGCAGATTTTCGAATTTTAGGGTTTAGGGTTTAGGTTTTAGGGTGGGCAGGTCGAAACCAGCACTGATGAATGATAGGTTTCGGAAAGCACTGCAGCACGAACTTAAACGGAGCTTGAGGGTTAGTTTGCCTTTTAGGGTTTAAGTATACCATTCTCAAGGGGCTTCGGGTTTGTCTAGTTGATCGTCCCAGTTCCCGAAGTAATTACTAGGTTCCCCGGCGTCCCCTCATTATTACAAGGTGCAGCAACACAAAGTGTTACAAGTAGTCGTAGCAATAGTCAGCCGAGACGAAATCAACGGCAACTATGACAACGGTTAGCATGCCAAATACATTCCAATAGGTGTAGCATTGCAGAAGCAGAGGAGAAGTGCAGCATTTATGGTGCTCAGGCTCGGTACTGTGTGGAGCCTTCCTTACCTAGCCCTGCTGCGGTCTCGCAGCTACCTGACTGGTTGTCCTTGACTCCTCAACCGCAACACCGGGTGCCTTGAAAGGCCTGTCATCCTAAAGGCTTACAGCACCCTTGCAATAACCCTAAAACCCAATAACCCTAGCAACCCGAAACCCTAAACCCTAGGACCCTAAACCCCTAAAACCCTAAACACAAAACCCTAAAACCCTAAACCCTAAAACCCCAAAATCCCAAGAGATCCCAAAGGGCTCCTCCTCTGCCGGGAACCAGAGGGCCGGATTGCAAAGCAAGGCCCAATTGATGGAACCAGGGGGGCAGAACTCCTGCCGAGTCCCATGGGCTTGGGTTTAGCGGTTTAGGGGTTGAGGGTTATTAGGGTTATTAGGGCGCAGAGTTTAGGGGCTTAGTAGGGGCTTAGGGGTTTTGGGGCTTAGGGGCCTAGGGTTTGAACAAATTTTGGGTTTAGGGTTCAGGGGCGTGTGGGGCTCGAAGGGCTTCGGGTTTCAATTGAGGGCTCAGTGACTCAGGGATTACATAAGGGTTCAGGTTTATCCTCCACCCAAATCTGTCGGCGCCCTCTTTCCCCTCCACTCCTGGACAGAATGGCGCACGAGCGTGGCCACGCCACCCACCAGCAGCCCGCCGCCGAAGTAAGTCATGACCCTCAGTGTTCAGCACTTTGGGCTTTAGGCTGGAAGGCTTGGATCTGCAAGGCTTTCGGTATTGGGGGAAGTTGGCCTTCAGAGTTTAGGGATGATAGAGCTTCAGGTTCTCAGGTCCTGAGGGCTTCAGAGTTTGAGGTTGAGCGCAAAAGCCGCAGCCGACACCACGATCCGTAAGCTCTCTACGCCGAAAACCCATGAACGCCCAGCGGCTCAGTTCTGATAATGACTCCTTTGAAAGATCAGAAAGCCGCAGCCAAAACAAGCAGGATTCCAACCAGTACAGGTTTGTATTTTCCGACCTGAGGTGATTTACGTCAACCTCCTATTCAATTATATACATTTCCCCCTTACAGTACCCCTGCAGTACTCTTTATTTACTCTTTATGGAACAAGCCTGTCTTGAGGATCCAGATCCGTCCAAAAGAGCCTTGGTTTTCCTAGCACTATGTATGCTATACCCAAAGGCCCCAAAGTAGTTCCTTTTGGGGGTTCATATTTACAATTCTATAAGGCAACTCCAAAAAGGAACTACTATGGGGCCTGTGCGTAAGCTGTCGTGGCAACAAGCTCCCACGAGTTTACCAAAGCCTACACTCGTCCGCGACACCAGCCACAGCCCGCTAGTCAGAAGATCTTGAGGGTTTAGTTCCAGCATGCAGCTCAGGCGCCAGAAGAAAAGACATGAATGAAGGCTTTCTGAATGCTTAGGGGGGGTTCTACAGATGGCTTTCGGTAGATTTGCGGAAGCAATACTGTATTTATATGTGTGTGTATATATATATATATATGTGTACTACAGGGAGCTCTTTTTAAGACTCCCATAACTCTTCTGTCCCAAGAACGGTGCTGATGTCGGCTCTGATGTCGACTGGACCTGCCTGTACCAGCCGGCCCTGGGGCCCAAACCCTAAACCCCTAAACCCCCAAACCCCTAAACCCCCAAACCGCCCTGAACCCCTAAACCCTAAACCTTAAACCCTAAAACCCATGGGCCCGGGCTTCCCCAGAGCTACACCGTAAGAAAAGGGGCCTTAACTAGGATGCCCAGTAACCTGGGAATACAAAGGGCTCCCTTCTTGGTAGTGGGTAAATTGGAACCTAGGACTACAAAAACAGAATAAGGGTACTACTGGGCATCCTAGTTAATAGTTGCCTCTGAATAGGATAGGTAATTAATTGCTGAGGCGACTTGACAACCTAACCCCAAATCTCCAAGAGGTCCTTATTTACGATTCTGGGTGCCCAAAGGGCCCGACAGTATTAGTGATTGGACGCTTAGGGTAAACCATACGGCCTTACATAAACTCAAGGCCCCGGCTTCATGAACTTCGCCACTTTCATCCTCCAGGCCTGCGAGACCGTCAGGCACTTCAGGCCCCAAGGCGGCCCAAGGAGTTTGCCGAAGCTTCATGTCCCAAAGGGTCCAAGTATCATTCTGGTGTATACTTATAGGGTATTTTGGTGTTCTAAGTTTTTTTCCATCATGATACTTGGACGATTTGAGTGTTTCGGGTTTACGGTTCTCTAACCCTAAGGGCCAGAAGCCTTACATAGTCTTGTCTTTGGGCCCGAAAGCCCTAAGATATGAGTCCTTAGAGCCCTAAGGGTAAAGGAAGGGAGACTAAAAGACGAACTATGGGTTGAGAACTTGGGGTTTTAGGGTCAAGCCCCTGATGCCCAGTTGCGAACGTTACTATCTTTGGGCTATGTGCAAGCCACGGTTTAGGGTTTAGGGTTTAGGGTTTAGGGTTTTAGGGTTTAGGGTTTAGGGTTTAGGGTTTAGGGTTTAGGGCACTGTACAACCTGCATTGGTATAATGAGTGTGACCGAGCATGCACCAAGGTTAAGGGCAAAGACGAGTTTCTTGAAGAAAACTCTAGCTAACTATACAGTCGCTGACCCCAATGGACAAACCAAACACCCAGCTCAAAAATACATGTAGTTCAATCGATCTACCAGTTGCTAGTGTGTATACGAACAAAGGCCGTGCAAGCCACAGAAATCACATATCCCGACATCTATACTAGCCCTAGGCACTCATAAAACCCGAAAAAACATAGTAACGGGCCTTGTTGACTGAATCCGTACAGTGGACGCCAGAATCTTCGGGGGGCGTCAGCATTGCTGCAGATGTGTCCTCGCCTGCAGTGCACTCCAGGGCTTGGGGGTTCAGGTTCTGGAGTTTAGGGGTCCCGGGTTTCCAGAAGTCAGAAAAACTAAGACGATCGTGCGACCGAGCTAGCTGCGATGTGCCACTTAAAAAACTTGCGCACACGACCCTTGCTGCTAAAGACTCCACTGACGATAATGAATTCAAGTACGTGCTTGACGCTTTTGCTGCGGAAGTGCCTTCCAGGGCACCCTAAACCCTAAACTCCTCATCTCTAAACCCCTAAAGCCTGAACCCCTCTGCCCTAAACCCTTTAACCCTAAACAGGCCCCAAGGTAGTTCCTTTTTGGGATTACCTTATAGAATTCGAGATATGAACCCCAAAAAGGAACTACTTTGGGGCCTTGGGGTAGGGCCTATTAGGGATCTCTGTTTAGGACTGGAGTTTCGAAGTTTCGGGTTCCCACAGGGTCCCAGGTACTGTTATGGGAGATACTTCTCTAAATCATACCCAGAGAGCCCAATACATCGTAATTAGGGAATATACCGAAAAATTATAGAGGCCTAAATACTATGGTTTAAGGGGTATATTCCCCAATTAATGGGTATTGGGTTCTCTAGGTAATCATACTTCCTGGTCCAGAAGCTCTAATCCATTACATAGGTACTGAGGGTCCTTTGGGGTTTTGGGTTTAAGCTGTAGCCACTCGCTCGAGATTTGAGTCTGCAGAGTACAGCCCCATGCTGTGAACCACCCAGCTACTGTCACCATACTACAACATTATTCCTTCCTTATTGCAACGGGACCCCAAAACAACATTCTAAATGTTCCTAAAGGACAAACCTTATTTTCGCAAATCAGATCATTTTAGGCCCGATAATAGAGAAAAGAAATGTCACAAAAGCTGACCTAAGAGTACCCAGAGAACCCAATACACCTTAATTAGGGAGTCTACCTTAAATTATAGTTGCCTTAATCTTATAATTGAAGGTCTATTCCCTAATTAAGGTGTATTGGGTTCTCTGGGTAGGCACAAACCGACAGTCAAAGGGGAAAAGGAGGGACCCGTAATGGGGACCCCTACCCTATAACGGTCTATATAATGGGTATATAGTAGCTATATTAAGGGTATATACCTAGGGGCGTATTAAGGGTCCCTCCTTTTACCCTTGGAGACAGTGGGTCGGCCCGGCCTGGGTAGTGCCAGCAAATCTTCGGCCCCGAAGGAACGTCGGGCTGAACGGTCAGAGTTGTTGCTATTGCTTTGGGACTTTGGGAGGTTTTGGGCTTTCGCTTTTGGGGTTTAGGGTTCAGGGATTTCCTGCTATAAGGGCTTCGGTTTCAAGCTTTGTGCTTCGCTTGTTGGGGTCGTTTGTGGACCACTGGCTTCCGTTGGAGTTTTAGGCGCATAATATATGGGGCTACGTCTCAGCTGCAATCTCAGCCGTCCGAAGTCCAAGACCCATACTCAGAGTCGAGGGTTCAGGATTTGAGGGATCAGGGTTTAAGGGTTTAGGGGTTCAGGTTTAGGATCTGAGGCTTTCAGATCCAGGGCTTGCCTGAGCTGGCGTGCACACGTGTGTCAATGAATGCGCATACCTGTACACAGATCTAGATGCAGATATAAAGTGGGTTCGATAGAGGAGGTAGACAGAGAGACAGACGGACAGACAGAAAGGAGGGCAAAACAGACAGTTCCACGGATAGACGCAGAGACGGTCAGGAAGATAGAGCAGTCTCTGTACTCAAGCGTTGGCTACTTGATACCCTACTACCCCCTAAAATATTCGAATTTGAAAAGCCTCTTGCGTCATTAAGCCCTTGCTGAACCCCTTTAGAAACCCTTCATAAAAATCCTTCAAGGAGCCCTCTTCTCATTGTTCAATGCCCCTTTTCCGAATGGCTCGCCTGCTTCGTGCACTTGAAGGACGTGGGTTTGAAAGATCCTGGGCTGTCTTTGCGACTTGGGAGATGGGAGGCATCGGTGCAATAAGGGAGTTTCCGAAAATTAGGGGGTACTTTATTTTTGGGGGGGGCCTTGTAATAAGGATCCTACTTTTTAGGGTACCATACTGGGGTCCCCTATTTTCGGAAACTCCCATAAGAGGAATCTGGGCATCGGTACGGCGAGGACAGGAATGGGCCTCGGGACTTAGGATGGATTCACGGTTTCCGGCTGGGTCTCTCTTGAGGGTCGTTTTGCAATCTGCGTCAAGAGTCAGTACTTGGAGGATCGGGGGACTTAGCAACTGGTTATTTTAGGGACTTATAAGTACCATAACCCCAATTAGGGTCCCTTTTAGGGTACTTATAAGTCTACGTACCAGCTACTTACTAAGTCCCCCGACCCCCCAAGTAATTTGACTGCCATGAAGGTCTCAGCCCACAGCGGCGGACTGAGACCGCTAAAGATCAAGGTGTGAAATATGGGGCCCTAATTGAGCCTGGGCTTTGAAGCAACCGGGGAGAAAAAAATACAGACGTTTATGTCATAATGGTCCCCTTTCAGTAACAGCTCCAGAAAAAAGTATTAAAGTATGGTATTCCAAAGCCCAGTAACCTGTAGAGACCATAGGAACCTCAAATCCCTAAACCTTATACCCTAAACCGTGTTTTTGTGACGCCTGGTTACATGCAAACCCAGCACCTCCAAGAACCCGAAAGCCACCCAAAAAGCCGAGCAAACTCGAACCCCGGCACAAAATCTTGGCATGCTCAGCCTAAACTTAAACGGCTCGTCCCCTCTAAGGTAGCGGCCTGCGCTACTTTGGCTGGATGACCTCGGCATCTTCCATGCTTATGGGGTCCAAGTATTACAGATTCGGGCGTCGGTTTGAGGGTCTAAGGTTGGCTTCACTCAAACGGCGGACTCGTTCGTAATGCGCATCGGAATAATATATTCATTATGGTATCCCCTGTGCAGTCCCCACCTAACAAAGTAACACTATACGATATATCCTCAACCCTATTCTGACTATGAACGCCCCTCTATGAAAGCCATACTCAGTACTCAAGTTCCAAACTGAGCCATGAGCATACTACTTATTACTTACGACTTATGTGTATGTACTAGGTCTCTCTATGAGAACCCTGCTCAGAGAAGCTACCACGCGTGCAACTTACTTGGGGGGTCGGGGGACTTAGTAAGTAGTTAGTAAGTAGACTTACAAGTACCTTAAAAGGGACCCTAATTGGGGTTATGGAAGTTATAAGTCCCTAAAATAACCAGTTACTAAGTCCCCCGACCCTCCAAGTACCCCTCCATCCAATGCCGCTTGCAAACCGGAAAGCAAGATCAGAGCTCAAGGGCCCAACGACAACCAATCAGGGTTTAGGGCTTGGCTTTAGGGTTGAATGTTCAGGGATGTTTAGGGTTTAGGGTTTGGGTTTAAGGTTGAATGTTTAGGGATGTTTAGGGTTTAGGGTTTAATGTTTAGAACTGTTTAGGGTTTAGGGCTTAATGTTTAGAGATGTTCAGGGTTTAGGGTTTAATGTTTCGGGACGTTTAGGCTTTAGGGTTTCATCCCAACTGCAATCCAAAAGGGCCCAGGTGCTCTTCTAGGGGCCCTTCCCCAAAACATAATAGTAGTTTCTAAATTTCTATATATACTGTAGAAGCCCTATATTCTCCTACTTGTCGGGTATCAACGTTAACCTTTTTGGTTATATAGGAATTATATAGGGGCTATACTAACCAAAAACAGGTTAAAGGTTGCCTACTCTACTACTAGGTTCTACTATGCAAGAACTTTGGAGCCCAACTGGAAAGGGATTAGGGTTTCGGGTTTAAACGTAGGGGTTCTCCTCCTCATCGTTGATGCCACCCTCCCTGATACTACAAAAATAAAATACTGTCTGAAACTACTAATGCTGCTAGTATTGTGGTACGTTCGGACCTGCGTAGCAGCTAGATGCACAGTTAGGGGTATCTGGGAATGTCTAGTATAGCTAGAGTATGGTTTCGGCTTAGAGTTTAGGAGAAGTTAAGGTTTACAGTTACAGACGCTGGGCGTTGAGGGTGGGCTGCAACTGCTGAACCGCCAAACCCAATAGTTGGTGTTAAGATCTGCAAGGTAGTGCTAAAGTCAGAAAAGTGGCAGGAACTCCACGGCTATATCCCGGCGACGGCTGGAGGGCAGAGGCAAAGGGAAGTCAACGCCCAAGTGCGTCCTCAGAAGCAACTGGGGTCAGGCTTTAATCTCCAACCCCAAACACTCAACCCTAAACGCTGCGTTCTTGGTCGGTCGGCCTCGCCGCCAGAATGCCATGGCTACTCACCACTAACCCGAGGCCTGAGCTTAACCGGGGTGTATACCCACAGGCCCCATAGTAATTCCTTTTTGGAGTTACCTTATAGAATTCTAAGTATGAACCCCGAAAAAGAACTACTTTGGAGTTTTGGGGTAACCAGTATATGGAGAGTTCTTAAATCTTTTGGGCGGTGTCTTATCTTAACTCACGCTCGGGGCTAGGTTTCGGAGTACCTTAACCCAGAGTCTCTGTTGGGGGGTATCTTCTCTGAACTCAGACTCGGGGTTTAGTTGGGTTTAGGCTTCGGGGTAGTCTCAGCTCAGCTTCAGGGTTTAGACGGCTTTAGGGTTAGGCCAGGCGTCCTCGTTTTCAGGATTCTACTACTGGGTGAGATGCTCATGTGTGGCACCCCTGTGCTCATTGGCTCACGGTCCTTTTCAGTTTTCGGCATATGAACGATTCGGTTTAGGGCTTAGGGTTATAGGGTTTAGGGACCCGTGCTTCCAAAAACGTCCTGCAACTTGAGACTCCAAACTCAAAGCCCTGTTCCCGAATGGTTGCTGAAGGTCCTCTCAATATGGGAGTTTGGGAAAATGAGGGGTACCTTATTTTGAGGGCCTTATAATAAGGATCCTACTGCTTAGGGGACTATACTAGGGCCCCCTATTTGCGGAAACTCCCATGTAAATTGGCAGGCTTGCGACAGGGACCGTTTGGTCCTAGGCAGGCTCTAAGCAAGCTTTCGGGTCTCAGGGCATAGGGTTTTCGGCTAAGTTTCACTGTTTACGCTTGAAGTTTCAGATTTACTTTAGTTCCCGCAAACTTTCCTTTTTGAAGGTCTCATATAAAGATATCATAAAAAGCACCGTGATGAAAAGGTGGTTTATGGGGCTTAGGGTAAGACTGAAAGGTTCCAGGATGTGCAGAGCGAGTCACTCCAGAGGCTCTTGTGGCGATGTTGTGTCCCAGTCGCGAAGCGCGACAGCAAGACCCCGCGGCATGGCGGCAGCTTCGCATGAGGAGTTTGAGACTGCTCGGTTCTGGATTCGGATGGGGCACCTCATACAAGTTACGATATACTAAGGCCAGGGATTCCGGGATAGCTTGTGATGAAAAGCCACGTAAACCACACTCAAACAGACAGCCCTAAACCCCTGAATCTTAAACCCTAGACCCGTGAACCCTGAACCTAGAATTGGGTTCCGGGTATCCAGGCAACTTGCAGCTCGCTGTACGTGTGGCCTTCGGCCTATGTGGGAGCCTAAAAGCCTCGGCCCTCCATCATAAGCTGATGCGATTCACCCTAAGAGCCCATGTGCTCATCTACTATATGTGTTGGCCTTAAAGTAGTGCCTATGTAATTATTTTTCAACCAAAAAGATAGTTTCTGGTTACTTTATATGCGTTTCTGTATGCTCGGCGCGCGTCTCAGCATCACCAGCCACTTGACTTGGGCCGAAAAGTCGAGGCCCCAGAGTTGCAACAGCTTCCCAGACCTCGGGGAGGATCTAGAAAGTAGATCCCCCTATATAAACTGGGGCCCTATACTACTAAGGGTACTCAAGAACCCCCATTAATGGATCGACTTTTTGGATCCTCCCGGGTGTCTGGGTTGCTGAACTCGAAACCTGGTAACTTGGAGGCCCCGCACCCATGGATGCATCCATCCCGACCTACATACATACATGCTTACATATGGTCATGTTTGCATACGTACAAGTAACCTAGATAACCCAACGCTGGAAACCGAAAAGCGTTACGCCTAAATCCTAACCCTTGAACACAAAGGTCGAGAACATCCAAACCCTTGAACACAAAGGTCGACAACAAAAACCTTAAACCCTAAACCTTAAACCCTAAAACCGTGAAGCCCAAGCCTGACACCCTAAACTCGAATTCCTGGAACCCCCTTGTCACACTTAGTACTTCTTAGGGGTGCTTGACAAAGAGTACTCGGTGCCGAACTTGTAGCCAGTGATCTGGGCGAACAAGTTGTCCTCCAAGGGGGGAGGTTCAAGGGGGCTTTGGGACTATGAGGCTTATACTTGTGCCGTCGGATTCTCTAGAGGGCTTAAAGGGCTATATGGTTTCGGGTTTAGTTTTTGGGTTGAAAGGGGTTTAGGGTTTAGGGGGTTCAAGGGCTTTAGGGATAAACGGTCTTGGGTCTGGGAACTGCCGGCTTCAGCGGACAAGAAAATGTCGGATCTCAAGCGCCGTCATGCTTCAGGTTTTCGAGTGCCCGAAGGGTCGCCCGGGCTCCATAGGGAATGATGTAGGCCCCTTAATAATTAGAATAAGGTTTTGGGACCCCTTACACCACAATTATAATGAGGCTAAGGAGCCCCAAAAGTAGTATTGGAATTTATTTGGGCCCCTATGTAGAGTAGTCCTTGCGGGTTTGGCAGGGAGCAGATAACTTTTGGACCAAAAGGGTCGGTCGGAGCCAACGGACTTGCAGATTTGAGCTTTAGGATCCGTGGTGGAGCTTCGGTGTATCTATATATATATATATATATACACACATGTATGTATATACATATATGTATATGTGTGTATATATATATATATATATATATATATATATCATATAAGTAAATAAGTATAAAAATACATGCAAATGTACAGGTGTTGAGACCCACAAAGCTCGCAAAGCACGTCCTGCGGGTCGTAGTGGCACGGTGAGAAGCCCTCGATGCCTGCAAAGCGCAAAACTGAACTGATACAGAAACGCAGTCCTCTCACTGTTCTCGGTGGCAACAAACACTGTAGAGAAGCGCGAGGCGTCATATGTGGAGTTTGCGGTTTGCGGGTGGTGGCAGACATCTGTAAAGCCCCCTTACCTATCTAAATTTAACCGGTTGCTACGCTTGCACGACTTTACCGGACCTTAGACTGTAAACTACAGGTCTTTTTGGGGATTCCTAGTGCACTTCTACAAAGGCTTTGAAAGACCAAGTCCCGGCTCGCAAGGTTTAACGAATTCACGTCAGGGGTCGGTTAGGGTTTAGCGTTCGGGTGTAGATTGTTGACATTTTCGTCATGCAGTGTCAGTGCTTTACCATGCTTTGCCTGAAGGTCCACGCCTTAGCAACCCATGTGCCCGTGTATCGGGCTGCTATTGCAACTACGCCTTAAACTGCAAAAGCCTGCTTTTGGTTGATTCTGAAAAGTAGGCCTTGGTGGTTCTAGGTATGTAGGAAAAGCTGTGGGCACGGGGCGGCAAACGTGCTGTCTGTGTAAGTGCTCAACCAAAGGGGATGCTCCAAGTAGGGTTTGGGGATCTGGGTTCATAGGAGTTTAGGGGTTAGGTGTTACGGTGGATAGGATTTGGGCTTAGGGGTTCGGGTACCCCGAGTCTCTCTCTATCTCTATCTGTCTATCTCTCTCTCTCTCTCTCTCTCTCTCTCTCTCTCTCTCTCTCTCTCTCTCTCTCTCTCTCTCTCTCTCTCTCTCTCTCTCTCTCTCTCTCCATCTGCAAGCACGCCGGGACGGCCGCAGAAAAGCTGGCACATCTGCGCCTCGCGCCTGAGCATTCGTTTAGGGTTTAGGGTTTTAATGACACTCGAAAGTAACGGCCCTGGAGCTAGCTTAATTCGGTAGGCGACAACAGAAACCCAACTGCCCTACTGTGCTTAGGAAATGAACGCTCAGCTGTGAGGGGCAAATGAGGGTTTAGAGAGTTAATCTTAGAGCTAGAGACGCGAACCAGGGTGCTTCTAGCACCCGTAGGAGCAAAATAGCTGGTTCACTCGCGAGTCCTAGATTCCGAAGCTTCGTCTGATTCTTCGAAGATCTCATGATGATGCTTAGGCTAACTCGGCTAATTTAAGCAAACACGACGCGAAAAAGAGGAAACCCTACACTCTATATTATAACCATAAACCGTATCATGCCTTCAACCTCGCTGCGAGCAACTGAAACCCAGACCCTCGGGACAATCTAGGAAGTAGATCCCCTAAATTGGGCCCATGGGTACTCTAGCGGAACCCCCATTAAGGGATCGGCTTTTTGGATCCTCCCGGGGGTCTGGGAAGCAAGCTGGGCGCAGCACCCCATCATCTGCTTCAGCCAGTCCCATCTGAAGCTCTGGATGTCTTTGGCCACCTGCTTAGAGGCTCATGGGACTTAGTAAGTAAGGTTATAAGTAGGTTATAATTAGGATGACCCCACTTAGGGGACTTATAACCCCAATTATAACCTACTTACTAAGTCCCATGATCCTTCAAGTGCACAATGTGTAGCGTATCTCGCATGTAGCGGCAATGTAGCATGGGAAATGACGGACTGGAGCAAGGTAATTGCGAGCCTCTGGGTCCCAAATTACCCTAAGGCCCCAAAGTAGTTCCTTTTTGGAGTTCATACTTAGAACCCTATAAGGTAATCCCCAAAAGGAACTTCTTTGGGGCCTATGGGTACGAGCTCACAAACCCGGATCCCGGCCCCTCACTTAAGCTGAATCCCGAAACCTTCACACCCTGTAGCTGGCTCGCTGTTTCCGACGCTTCACAGGTTCGCAAAGGCAAGTCAGGCCGCCGCCCTTCTTTGGACCTTGGCAAGCCAGTTTCAAGGCTTTGGGCTTGGAGACAATATCTTATTTACGCAAAGCTGGATTTGATGAGGCTTTGGTCTTCATCGCAGACCTTAAACCCAATCAGCTACCAGTAACTGACACAAAAGAGATCAGAATCTGGTGGTCCCCAGATTACCATCTAAAGTTGCTTTACAAGGCTTAGCGGTGAAGGCTGAAGGCTGTTTTTAAGGGCCCTTTTTCGAGTATGCAGAGTGAAGTTTTGGGGGTGTAAGGCTTTTGAAGTTTAGGGTTTACAGTTTATCTGCCGGCCCTGTTGCAGTGGCTGGCTTCGTTGAACTGAGAGCTACTGACCCCATCATAAGACAAACACCAATACAATCTATGGAATTCATACACGCGGAATCGAAAGAGGCTTCACTAAGCTCGGGACGACATCCAGCGGCCGTTGTATTCCGGCCAGTCTTGCAACACGAAGTTGTGCGTGCCGAACTTCTCCTGGCAGCTATCAGAACCGAGGGTTTAAAGGCTTAGGGTTTAGAGGGGTTTAGGGCTATAGGTTTTCTTTTTGAACTCCTTTTTGCACCTGCCTGTTCATCCAAGCGAGTACAAGGCACGTATGCGCCAAGAGAAGCACCCACTATTGTAGGCACATCAAAAAACCCTGCCCTCAGTTGTTCAATAGGGTTTAGGGTTCAGGCTTCAGGGGTTTAGGGTTGAGGGTCCCATGGATTTCTTTCTTCTGGGCTGTCTCCTTCCCGATCATGTTGATGTCTAAAGTTCGTTTTCGCAAGAACCCATTCCATAACGAATAGACATGACCTCTCATGCAGATCCGAAAGGCTCGAATGCTCAAACTTATCACAGGGCCGTTCCGGTTGAATTGCAGAAGAAGCTTCCGAGACTGCATCCTGTCACAAGGACATCTCCTCAATCCGAAAACCCGTAAAGCCCTTGAGCCCCAAAAGCCCTTATTAGCCCCGCCACCCTCCCCCCATGTCCTAAACTAGTGAAATTCCCCCAGCGCCTTATAAGCTTGAGCCGTCGGCTGACAAGGACATATCCCGAACTCTAAACCCTTGAAGCCTGTAGACCCCAAACTCCAAGCCCTTTGAGCCCGGAGCCTTCTAAGCCCTAAACCCAAGAAAACCCAAATTTTAAATTCTAAACCTTAAAACCCTAAACCCAAAACCCTAAGCCCAAAATCCTAAACCTTAAAACCCTAAACCCAAAACCCTAAGCCCAAAATACTAAACCTTAAAACCCTAAACCCAAAACCCTAAGCCCAAAATACTAAACCTTAAAACCCTAAACCCAAAACCCTAAACCCTAAATCCCTAAACCCCAAACCCTTTCGAGCCCCGCAGGCCCCTGGGCTAGAAGCTCCAAGTCGGAACGTAAACCCCCGAAGCGGTCGACGGCTCATAGAGTTTACCCCAAGGCCCCAAAGTAGTTCCTTTTGGGGGTTCATATTTTTATACGGCAATCCCAAAAAGGAACTACTGTGGGGCCTATGGGTAGTACAAGTATGCTCAGGAACGCTAAGAAACAGTACCTATATAGTCTCCATTGTAGTTCCCTTTCTTGGTTTAACCAGGTTTATAGTTGGATCCTATATAACAACCCCAAAAAAAGGAGCTACGATAGAGTCTATAGGTAACTGGTCATTTTTTACGACCTGTATACTTATAAGGCATTAAAGTGTAGCAGTGCCTTCAGGGCGTGGAAAAGGATGCTTTGATCTGCGTGCCCGCGATCTACGAGAAGTGCCTCTCAGGGACCCAGCGAACCCAATACCCCTTAATTAAGGAATATGCCCTAAATTATGGGGGCCTTACTGTTATGATTTAAAGTATATTCCTTAATTAAAGAATATGCCCTAAAGTGTGGGGGCCTTAATATTATGATTTAAGGTATATTCCTTAACTAAGGGGTATTGGGATCTCTCAGGGACCCAGCGGCCGGTCTTGGTTGGAGTGGCTACGGCTTCAGAGTTCTGTAATCCTAACTTGGAGGGTCGGGGGACTTAGTAACTCTAAGGGGTTCCTTAAGGGCCCCTTTAAAGGGATCTATAGGGATTCTGTAAGGGTTTAGGGTCTAGGGGACTTAGTAACTGGTTGTTTTAGGGACTTATAAGTACCATAACCCCAATTAGGGTCCCTTTTAGGGTACTTATAAGTCTACTTACTAACTACTTACTAAGTCCCCTGACCCCCCAACCCACGTACTCATATAGTATATACATTGGCCTTAACGTAGTCCCTAAATAGGTACTTTGGGGCTCATGTATCTCTAGATGGGTATATGGACCCTTAGGGTAAGGCCGAAATCCCTGTACGTAGACCCCCCAAACGTATGTAAAATAGTAACTCAAAAACCTATAAAAAGCCATTATTCCACATACTCTTGGGGTCCAGGGAAGGGTTACTATTCGCGTCCCTTTTGAGTTTGGACGTTGTCGCTTGAGGGTTTATGGTTCAAGGTCGCGCGCGATGTGTCGGGATTTTTGCCTCTTGAGGTTTCAGGCTTGATTATCCCGGCTTGCCGGCGCACGCCTAAGACCCCAGAACGGAGCTTGCGTGACTCTCTCTGCGAACTTGAACTTTCGACGTATGGAACGCGAAAACCTTTGTGGGAACGGCCAGGGTGCTGCATAGAGTTCCTCTGAAAGGCTTGTCGGGATACTGCTTGACTGTACTGAACTTAGAACCCTAGCAAAAATTGTAATTTTGGCTGTTTCTTCAGGATTATAATGAACAAAAATTAAAAAATATTTCTAAGTACCCCTAAGTTGAGATCCTGACCAGCCTGAACCATGGACCCCACAATGAACAAACTTCGGCGCTGAAAAAGTTTCATCAGTCGAGGTTGCAGCCGGCCTACAGCCCAAACCGCACAACCGACTCTTGAGTTTGTCGAAAGTTAGGTTAGTTCGGCTTAGGGTTTAATATTGTCATATAACTACATAGACTCCGAATAAAGGCAAAACCTCCGAAAGCACTAAACAAATTAATGTCTCTCGAACCAAACACGGCAGACCCCTAACGCCGTAGCCCCAAACCCTCGAAAATCCCCCACCCGTGACAGCCCGGCGCGCCACGACGTCGCGGTGGTTTCCTTGAGCTGCGTAGTAGAGCGGGGTGCGTCCGAAGCCTCGGAGGGTTTCCCAAGGGTGTGGGGTTTCCGGGGCTAGGAGAGTAGCCCTTTTCTACTGGTTACTATAAGGACTATATGGGTCTGTCCGAATAGGGGGCGCCCTTCCAGGAGTGTTGGGATCGGGGTATGTTTCGCGGGTATGTTGCAGGGTATGTTTCGGAGTGTGTTTCGGGGTATGTTTGGGGGTGTGTTTCGCGCAGACTATTAGTAGTAGCAGTAGAAGTAGTAGCAGCAGTAGTAGCAGTAGCAGTAGCAGTAGCAGTAGCAGTAGCAGTAGCAGTAGCAGTAGCAGTAGCAGTAGCAGTAGCAGTAGTAGTAGCACTAGCAATAGTAGCAGTAGTAGCAGTAGTAGCAGTACTAGTAGTAGTAGCAGTAGTCGTCGTAGTAGTAGAAGTTGGTAGTAGTGATAGCAGTAGTAGTAGTAGTAGTAGTAGTAGTAGTAGTAGTAGTAGTAGTAGTGGTAGTAGTGGTAGTAGTGGTAGTAGTGGTAGTAGTGGTAGTAGCAGTAGCAGTAGCAGGAGCAGTAGCAGTAGCAGTAGTAGTAGTAGTAGTAGTAGCATTAGTAGTAGCAGTAGTAGTAGAAGTAGTAGTGACAATAGCTGCAGTAGTCGTACAGGCATCGTTGTGGGCTGCAGGTCTGGAAGGTCCCGACTTGTCAGGCGGTTAGTATCGCTTCGAAGCGGAAAAGGCCAACGGGCCACTTGGAGCAAATCCAAGTATGTTTCGGGTATGTTTCAGGTATGTTACGGGTATGTTACGGGAAACCTTTCCTGACCTGTGTTGAGCTACTCTACACCTTCGCCCGCTGCTAACTTCATCCAAACGATTTGGATAACGCGGGGGTATGTTTCAGGGGTATGTTTCGGGGTATGTTTCAGGGTATGTTTCGGGGTATGTTTCGGGGTGTGTTTCGCGCAAGGACAACACTCCTCAAAGACTACAAATTCAACCCCCCAAAAAAAGACAGACCCATATAGTAACTATGGTGGTAAGCAGGTTACTAAAGGCTTCAGGGTGTATACGGCTGTCGAGGTTTAAGTTTGAAGGTTTTTAGGGCCATATAAGTGTTTGAGATCTACATTGGGGCTCTTGCCGCCTTAGCGCCTAAAGGTGGATTACTGGAAAACAGCCGAAAGGTTGCTTAAATGCTATATTTGGACTTTCACGAATTCGGCACTCTTGTGATTAACCCCGAAACAGTAGGATCCTTCGACTACCAACCGGTTACTACTCTAAGGCTCCATAGCGGGGATTACCTTATATAGGATTCCAAATATGAACCCCAAAAAGAAACTACTATGGAGCCTTAGGGTAGGCGGCTTTTGATTCATTAAGTAGTTGGAGCCGGCCCTACACTCGGCCAACCTTGCGGTCGACAGCCATCCAAGATCTTAATCAAGCGACATCTTCTGAGGTAGATGGACAAACCCCTAAAGCCCAAAACCCAAACCCAAAATCCAATAAACTCCTACAGCCGCAAAACCGCAAAGCCCCAAACCCAAAACCCCCCAAACCCCAAAAAAACCTCTAAACCCCTAAAACCCCTAAACCCCCAACCCCTAAAGCCCCTAAGAACCCTAAAATCCTAAAAACCCTAAAAACTTCTAAAACCCCTTAACTCCTAAAACACCCTAAAACACCTCAAAGGCGGTAAAGGAGCGGTCCAATGCGTCCACCTCGCTGCCTGCATCCAGGAGCAAGCTCACGGCCTGACGTGGGAGTTTCCGAAAATTAGGGGTACCTTAGGGTTCCTTTAAAGGGTTACTATAGGGGTACTATAAGGATTCCTTTAAAGAGCCATTATTTTGCATACTTTTGGGGGGTCTAGGTACAGGGGTTTCAGCCTTACCCTAAGGGTCCATGTACCCATATAGAGATACATGAGCCCCAACGTACCTATATCGGGACTACATTAAGGTCAATGTGTATACTATATGAGTACATGGACCCTTAGGGTTAGGGTTCCTTTAAAGGGTTTTGCATAAGGGTACTATAAGGATTCCTTTAAAGAGCTCTATAAGGGTTTAGAGTTTCCGAAATTAGGGTTGCCTTATCTTGGGGTCCTTATAATGAGGATCCTACTATTTAGGGTGCTAGACGAGGGTCCCCTATTTTCGGAAACCCCCACGTCTCAAGGATTTCCGGCCTTTGGGGGGTTCAGGGTTTTGCGCTGTTTTGGTTTAGGAGTTCAGGGGTTTAGGGTTTAGGGTGTTTTTGTTTTAGGGCTTTGTGAATTTGTGGTTTAGGCTTGAGGGCTGTCGGATATGGGCTGTTTCGGGCTCCTGTATGGGTTCCTATACTGACTGAGCTCCTTCAAAGATTACTTTGCGAAGCTCCTGTAAGGGGCCCTATGCAACATTCAGAGGCTCCTCTCAGGGGTCCTCTATAGGGCTCCTTTGAGTGATGCGCGATGCCGGGTTACAAGGGCTACCCCAGGGGTAACTATAAGGGCTACTATAGAAGTTAGACGGATGAGTATGTACATGTATAAAAAGGTGCTCTGAATAGGGTGACCATAAAGGTTCGTATAGTGGCTGCTACAAGGGGTCGTATATCAGGGGTGATGCGGCTGTCAGCGTTCACGGGTCAGGCTTTAGGGATTGAGGGGCTGTAAGTTTTCAGTGCTGATGGACCACTCATTAGAGCGTTTCGGAATTAGGGCTTTAGGGGCTTTAAGCAGACAGTGATTGCAAGGAATATGATATGGGCGACTATGCGGGTTGCTATGGGAGCCCCTAATATAGAAATAATCCGACCGACACAGAGTGGGGGGCAGTATCCAACCTCAAGCATCTGAAACACGTTGCCTGTGTTCGGCCGTCTCTTGCAGCCAGATGTAGAGGGGTCCTGAAAGTCATGGAGTGAAGGACAATAGGATTCGATTATACTGTATCAAATTTGTTATGGTGTATAATACTCTTGTGTATCATACCACATTATCTTAAACTTTGTCCAGCTATTTTACCTTATATCATGCTATATCATGAGATGTTGCCTTATATGGTCGTGTTTTCCAATATTAATCTGTTCTAACATTTTCGAAAATATTTTCGTAGTATGCTATGTTATATTGCATTATTGTATTGTATTCTACTTTTTAATGACACATCGTATTATATTGTGATATAAAATGTCGTATTACATGTTTTAAAAAATCTATAATGTACTATGCCATAATACAATGAAAGGTACTAAATAATGTTGTGCTATGATATCATAGTGTACTGTATGGTGCTACATCAACAGATTTGCATGTTGCTCACTGTTGGATTATACTCGATGTCAGGTAATATATAGCTTGCAAGCTTTCCGGTACCCCCAAGGGTCCAAGTACCTGGTAATCATATACTCTCCAAAATCCTAACCTGCATAGCTAGTATCCGAAAACCGAGTACAGAATTATTGCGTCCTTTGGACCCTTGGGGTACAGCCACAACAGGTCCCGAGTCCTTTCGTCCACATCGGTCAGCTCCACCTGCGAATGCGGAACTCGAAACTGAAAGCCGCGAGTATATTTGCAAGCCAGGACCTAGGCCCTAGGCCACGGCAGCGTCGTGTTTAAACCTCGGAGTTCGGGAATGAATTATCCAGACTTCAGAGAGATATAGAAAAAGAGAGAGATACAGAGAGAGATATAGAGAGAGACACAGACAAAGATACAGAGAGAGATACAGAGATAGTGTTTAAGACTTCGGGTGTCTGACTTTATGCAACTGCCTGCAAACTCCTTCGAGGCCCCCCTCCCGGAAGCTGCCCGGATCCCTCCCAAGGCCCCAAGCCCCTACGCCAAAGTCCTATCCCAGAGAATACCTGGGGATCCGAAACCCTACCGTTTTGAGGGCTCTACCCTCTAATTAAGGGCTCATAACCTACTATTTTGTAGGGTTTGGGGTCACAGGTAGTTCCTGAGATTCGACAACAACTTGAGGTGGAAGTTGCACGCCCTCTCGATCCCGGTTACTTGGAGGTTCATGGGTGGTTATAACTAGGGTTATAAGTCGCCTAATATGGGTTACAAGTATAGTTATCCTACTTATAACTCTACTGATAACTGCCCATGAACCTCCTGGTTACAGGCTTCGAGGATCAGGGCTCTTAACCCCTAAACCCTTGAAGCCACTAAACTACACTTGAACCCCTGAGCCCCTAAATCCCTAAACCCAATAAACACCAAACTTCAACCCTTGAGCCCCCAAAACCCTAACTACCCGTGGTTTCCCTGGTTAGGAGTTGGTATTTCTCAAAGGGGAAAAGGAGGGACCCCTAATGGGGACCCCTACACTATAATGGGCTATATAATAGCTATATAAAGGGTATATATACCTAGGGGTCCCCATTAAGGGTCCCTCCTTTTCCCCTTGGAATTTCTGACCATTGCCTCGGCTCCCTTCTCCAGCAAAGCCTCCACAAGTCCCTGACACCTGCTGGGAGGCCAAACGGCGGATTTAAGATTCTTGGGGTAGGGATCCCTTAATATGAACCCTATTATGGGGACCCTAATCCCTACTAAACCCCCATAGGCTAAAACTCCTTTTGGCCTCCTATGAACACCTGCCAGGCCGCTGAGGTTTGGGGTTGAGGCTTTCCGTTTTTTGTTTAAACGCCTTTCTCCGTCCGCATGAACCGAATCCCTTCTAGGGAAAGCGGTGCTCGATTTAGGGTTTGGAGTTTAGGGTTTGGGGTGTCGCGTTGAGGGTTTAGGTTTAGAGTTGTCATGCACCTTTTCTCCAGTTTTCAGGCTCAATACAGGGGTCTTAATAGTGAGAATAGGGCTGGCATAGCATCTTCATATTCGGCCTTAGTATTTCGAAAAGGGTTTTGGGGCCCCTTGGGGGGTATATACTGTTCTATAGTTCGTAAAATTAACAAGGGAAAACCCTTGAACTGGAAGTCATTACGGCTACGGTAGGGACACAAGAATTACGGCGCTAGTTTCATGATTATGTATAAGGCTTACTAGCTGGGTCGCGATGTTTCAACTGTAACTAGGCCTGCGCATTCCAAATGACGCCTGGAGGAAGGTGGCAGAACGGCTGAGGACGGAGGGTTTCAGTGAGGACGCTTTAAGTAGAGTTATAAGCAGGACATCCCCAGTCACTTAAGTATATGAGAGTTTCCCAAACTTAGAGGCAATTACCTCTTTTTTGGGGTCCTTATGATAAGGTTCCTACTATTCAGGGTACTACACTAGGGCCCGCTATTTTCGGCAACTCCCATATACTATCCCGCATACTCTTTTGGAGACCTCTTAGCACCCTCAGACCGCAGCCCTCGATGACAAACTTGTGTTATGGACCCTTGAACCCCAGAAGATCCCTCCCTTTACCACAATTTGCTTAAGAAACCACCAAAAATAATAATAACCCCTATATTACCCCCATAAGGAATATATTTTTTACTTTTGGGGGGTTCTTAAGCACATAGTAGTTTAACAAAACAACCGACCCTAAACCCTTGACCCAGAACCCTAACCCTAAGACCTTAACAAGACAAGCGAAGGCACGAAGCTGCAGCCACAAAGCCTCGCGCCTTCCGGCAGATGGTGTCGCAGGAGGATCACTCGCCCGATCCTGCGATTTGCTACAGTAAGGGGTTCTACTTGCACGGTTCTATCATGAGCGTTCTACAGGAAACTTTCCCGTAGAAATTTAGGGGCTTCCGAAAGCAATTAAGGGGCGACGGCTACGCAGCGATGATCATGCACTTTGTTTGCTTGTGCATCTTGTTTCAAATCAGGGATCGTGAAATCGTAATGTGCAAGAAATGTACGTTCCCATGCTCTCGAAGGTCTCCCATCTCTTGAGGATTGCGCTTCTGTTTCGTCGCTTCTTCTCGGTGGTCGTTGTCTAAGATGTCAGCAGATGAAGCTAGCACGTTGAGGCTTGGGGCATTATATGGGTGTTTCCGAAAATTAGGGGGTACCTTATTTTGGGGTCCTTATAATAAGGATCCTACTATACAACAAGCATCCTATTATTTAGGGTGCTAGAGATTAAGGTCCCCTGTTTTTTTGGGAAGCTCCCATATATACATGGTCTCGTCTTAAACCCACCAAGCAGACCACCGAAACTCGAAGGCCTTCTGCCCTCCTCCCAGAGATCCGAATACCCCTTGATTGAGGAATATACCTTGAATTATCTAGCCCCAGTGGTTTTGGGGTTCCCTTGGCTCTTTAGCTCCTTATTTAGGAGGGAGGGACTATCATCATCCCTGGCTCCGTAGCTCCTCCAATATCAGTGATTAGTTATCATAATATCCCTAATATGAGTTGAGGCATACACCTTAATCAAGGGGTATCAGAATTCCCTAAGATCCCTTAAAGGATCCCCTTAAAGGAGCCCTAGGTATTCCTTAGTTAAGGGGTCTCTGGGTCCTCGGGTGCCATCACCGCCAGATGTAGAGCAGTGCGACCCTCCGCATCCCGTCTCGCGAGCAGCACGGTCACCTTTTCTGCAGATGTCCTGGCACTGGTTTAGGGTTTAGGGTGTAGGGTTTAGGGTATAGGGTTCACACGACACTTGGCGGCTTATCTCATCTTGTCTGAGACGGTTTAGGGTTTAGGGCTTAGTGAGAACACTCTAACACTAAGAACTAAAATAAGCATCTGATCACAGCCATTTTTTGCACTACAAGACGCACTGACAAATATGTGCTGAAAAGCAAACGACTAGAATGCCAAGTCGTGTCAGCAGAGAGTCCCACAACGGGAGCATGATTGGCAACCGACGACTCGTCTTCTCCGACTCCGACGCAGTAGTGGCAGCAGTCGGGATGTGAGTACGGCACGAACATATTATACATAACACCAGTGTAGCTTCAACATGCAAGACAGATAAACATCACGCAGGCCATGGTCATCGCACGACTGAAAACACTGAAAGAGTAAAGGCAAAACTGCTGACTACTAGTAACTAGAAGCACTCGCAGCAAGGAATATGCAGCGAATGCTCCTTCGGTTGCTGTGCACATCGTAACAACATGTAACAACATTGCGTTGAAGTTGGAGCAGTGACTACGCAAGGATTTGGTCTGGGACAACTCATCGGCTTCAGGCTCTGGCTGCATCCACCCAGAGATTCCGATACCCCCTAATTGAAGGATTATATAATATTTATGATTTAAGGTATGTTCCGTAATTAAAGGGTATTGGGATCTCTGGGCCCCGGGCGATTGACAATGCTAACTTCTGAGCGCTGGGCTTTCACAAAGAAGGATTCGCAGGGTTATGGTCGTCGAGACTCGTTTGAAGGGAACTCGCTCTGGCTGACAGGGGCCAGAGTTTGAGGAACGACTCCGATGAAAGCAAGAACATTCCAATCCTGCTGGTAGAAACATAACCCCGGCTTTGGGAAGTTCTTCAAAGCTGGTCCAGCCCGAAAAAATGCCACCCAGCCCTTTTCAATTGCATCAGAACCCTAAGGGTCCATGCACTCATATGGCATATACTTAATACACGTTGGCTCTAAAGTATCTATATATGGACTAAGGGCTCTGAACCACCCGAATCCCAATGCCCTCAACCGTAAAGCATGCAACCCAACAGTCGAAACTCTGCAAAGAGGTCACCAGGCCCTATGCCCCGAAACACTAAAAAACCCTGAACCCTTCTCAGCCCAAAGCAGCAACCGCTAAACTCCTCCAACACCCATATCTCATAACCATCAACTCTGTAGCCGGGTAAAGCGCCCCCGAAACTTTAACACCTCATGTAGCCCAAGGAAACCCCGTCGGAACTGCATTAAAGAGCGCGCAAAGAATCTTAATGAAACCCTATGGTTGTAGAAACACCTTAAACTGAAACAATATAGAACCGCATAAAACTTCCCTTTAAACCCCCGACAAAGAGCTGCGAAGCCCACGCCTCAAGAACTCCACGGCAGTATCGCCCGCGGACATTGTTTCTTTCCAGAGCTGGCCTCATTATTGGACTTATGTAGTATTGATTAGGGGCTTAGGGGCCTTATCTTGCGGAGAGGATGTTAGAAGTACCCTTCAGGATGTCTTGAAACCTTTCAATACGTGCTCTGCCCGCAGATGGCAGGGCTCTTTAATGTTCATGGCCCCAGGAAGACTTCCAACGGATTTTGTCTTCGGCGGCTTCGGCGTAAGACCTCAGGGTTGGCGGGTGTAGGTCTTGGGGTTCAAGGGTACATGCCCCGAGGCTCCATAGCAGTTCCTTTTTGGGGTTCATATTTAGCATCCTATAATAAGGTAATACCAAAATCTAGGGCCTATGGGTGGTTTAAGCCCTAATTACCTAAACCCTAAACCATGTAATTCCCTAAACCCTAAACCCTAACCCCTAAACCCTAAATCCAAAATCTACAAGCTCAGCTTCAGCAAGCGGCATACCGGGCAGCCACACGTCGGCCCGGCATCTGGTACCTGCAAAGGCTCTCGGAGCACCTTTGTGGGCAGGGTGGGTTTGGGGAATTAGGGGTTTAAGGGTTTAGGGTTTATTAGGGGTTTAGGGGTTTAGGTTAAGGGGTTTAGGGCTTTAAAGTCTGCTGGAGTTGAGAATCTGGGGATGTCTGGGGCTTCAGAGCGGCAGGATTTGAGGCTTTAGGGCCTTTTGGGTCCACGCTTTAGGGTTCAGGGTTCAGGGCTTTCAGGTTTTGGGGTTCAGGGTTTAGGGGTTTAGGGTTAAAGTAAAGGTTAACACAAGGCTGTTGGGGTTTTCTGCGGCTGAGATTTGCGGTGGATTTTGTGTCTGGCCCCGGGTTCAGCAAGGTCAGGATAGGATTCGCTAACACAGGCAATCCAGCAGGGGTTTGGGGAACCTTGCGCGAACATGCCTGGTCATGGTAGCTTGCAGTATCTGGCCTCCGCTTTGGTGACCTCTGACCGGTGCTCCTGGTCAGAATCATGATCGTAAAAGCATGTTGTCCTTGCATAGAGAGGCTGTCGGCTCCACTGTCTCCTGACAGCGGGAGCATCTAAGCCTTGTAATAGTGGCTTGCAGTGTGTGGCCTCCTCTGAGGTTTCCAAGGACCAGTGCTCCTGGTCAGAATGAGGAGTTTAGAGTCTTGTTTTGCTTACCTTGAAGGGCAATGCCTCTTCTATCTGCTCTGCATCTTCCTGACAGCAGGATCATATAAACCTTGTAATAGTGGCTTGCAGTGTCTAGCCTCCTCTGCGGCGACATCTGACCGGTGATCCTGGTCAGCATGATGAGCTTGGAATACACTCCTCCTCTCTGGAGTCTTGAATCGGTACGAGCGCACAGCCACAATGAGTGGATCATGCATCCCGGAACTCTGGGACCTTAGAGCCATTGTAAGTTCGAGGTTCGCGGAATCCACATGTTTATACATCCCCCGAGCCCAAGATAATGGTAACGACCAAAGCTCGCCCTGAACCTAAGGCCCTACCAGCCCTGAGCCCCCCCAACTTCAATCCTTACTGTACGCCCTAAACTCCTGTAAGCCCATGCCAGACCAGCACATTATGGTCGCGCGAAACGCAAACCCGAAACCCCTACATAACCAAAATCTCGCAAGTATATATACACAGATCTGAAGATACACACACACACATCCTTTATACAGACGGCTTACTGTGAAGCCCTTTTTAAAATCCTTCGTAGAACTCTATGCAGAATCCCTCAAAAAGCCTTCAAACGACTCCAAAAGGAGCGCTTAAAGGGAACCGTGAACCCTAAACCCACCCTTAACCCCAAACCCTAAACCCAAACCCTAAAGCCTAAACCCCAAACCTCAAACCCTGGACCCTACACCCTAAACCCCAAACCCAAACCCTACACCCAAACCCTAAAGCCTAAACCAAACACGAAAGCCTAAACCGTCGACCCCAAAGCCTAAACCCTCAACCCTAAATGCCTAAAGCCTAACCCCAAACCCTAAAGCCTAAACCCTCAACCCTGGACTCTAAACCCCAACCCTAAACCCCTAAATCCTTAACCCCTAAGCCCTAAACCCCAAACCCTTCACCCCTAAGCCCTAAACCCCTAAACCCCTAAACCCTAAAGCCGAAAGCCTAAACCCCCAACCCTAAACCCCTCTAAGGAGCCCTAGAAAGCCTCTGAGTCGATCTTCGACGTCGCCGAAGGCCGAGGAGGCGGAGAAGGCGCCCGGTCACCTGGGCTCTTCTTAAAGGGTTTAGGGTTTAGGGTTTTAAGGTTTTAGGATTTAGGGCTTTAGGGGTTTAGGGTTTAGGGTTTAGGGTTTTAGGATTTAGGGCTTTAGGGGTTTAGGGTTTAGGGGTTTACGATTAAGGTTTAGAGTTTTGGGGTTTCGGGGATTAGGGTTTAGGGGCATAGTAACGGTTTAAGGTTTAGGGCCATAGAAAGGAAACCATATTTCTTACTGTAGATCCCTATTATGGTAGCTTTAATTAAGTTCTTAACGAGAACCCGGTCACAGGCACTGCGAAGGAGCCGCCGGGCGTCGCTGTTTCCTCGGCTTCAAACCCACATGAAGTTTAGGGTTTAGGGCTCAGGGCTTCTAGGGTTTAGGGTTTAATGAAGTTTCGGGTTTAGGGCTCTTAAGGTTTTAGGGTTTACTGAAGTTTAGGGTCTGCTTTTGGGCTGTTAGGCTGTTGAGGGGTTAGTGAAGTTTAGGGTTTTTAAGGATTTTAGGGCTTTTATAGGGCTTAGTGAAGTTTAGGGTCTTGTGGGGTTTTGGGGTTTAGGGTTTGGGGCAGTTTAGGGCTATGCTATAGGATTCTTGTAGCACCTATAAATCCAAACAAGGGATTTCCCCACGAACTTTCAGGCAGGGCCCACATCTAAATCTAAACCGAAAAATCCCTGAAACATTAAGCCATAATCCCAAACCTAATCCTCGACTCGGAAACTCAATCCTCTAAACTCTGAACCCTTGTCCCTAAAACCCGAAGCCCCAAGCCACTGAACCCGTCTGCTGACGCATAAACCCCGAAACACCTAAACCCTAACCCCAAAGCTCCTAAATCCTTATAAACCCTAAACCCCCTAAAGCCCCTATAAAACCCCGAAGCCCTAAACCCCCTAAGGCCCTATATACCCTAGCACTAAACTCCTAAACCCCTATAAACCCCTAAACCCCCTAAGCCCCTACAAACCCTAGCTCCTAAACCCCCGAAGCCCTAAACGCCCTAAGCCCTAAACCCCCTAAGCCCCTATAAACCCTAGCTCTCACCCTAAGGGTCCAAGTACCGAATAATCATATACTTTCCCTACTAGTAACCTACATAACTACCATCCTAAGACTGAGTACCTAATTATTGGGTCCTATAAACCCTACTAAACCCTATAGATCCCTTAAAGGAACCCTTATGGTACTCTTTAAAGGGACCCTTAACCCTAACCCCTGGGCCCCCTCAGCCCCTGTAAACCCCAGCTCTAAACTCGTAAACCCCTATGAAACCCTATAAACCCCTAAGCCCCCCTAAGCCCCTAGAAACCCTAGCTCCTAAACCCCCTAAGCCCCTATAAACCCTGGCTCTAAACTCCTCGACCCCTATAAACCCCTAATTAAGGCCCTATGAACCCTAGCTCTCCCTTGGGTCCTATAGACCCTAGCTCTAATCTCTTTGATGCAAGCCGGAGCTTCGTGGGTCTTGCGCCAGGATCTCCTGCAAGTCGGCCTCTGCTTCGCCTGATTAACCCGAAAGGACAAAAGCCCAGAGTCCCAAAACCCAAAAGGATGAACCGAAGCCTAGGGTTCCTTTTAAAGGGCTCCTTAAGGGGATACTAGCAGGAATCTAGAAGGGTACTATGGGTCTATAATAGGGGATCTATGATAGGGTCTAGAATAAGGGATCTACAACAGAGTCCTATAATGTAGGGGCCTTGCAGTAAACCCCATAAAGTTGCAAACTGGGTTAAGGCCAAATACTGCTGATTCCCTATACATTTCTCTTGAGGATGGAGGCTCTGGGGTTTCCAACTTTTGGGCTTCTACTGTAAGGGTTAGAAGTAGTTTAGGCTTAGGGTTCAGGGTTTAGAGGTGTAGGGTTTAGTTTCGGGATTCGGCTCTTGTGCCCGGAAACTCCAACCGATGTAGGGTTTCGGGGCCAACTTATAGAACGAGTGTTGTGATTAAGAAAGGCTTGAGACTTAGGGTCTAGTTAGGTTTTATGTAGTGCATCATCATCCATTGCAGGACCGATTGGGGACTTCGGTTTTAGTGTTCTGGGTGGTGGACTCTGACTTGCTGTGCATCGGACAGAAAGTTCAGGGTAAACGGCCCTACGGCTTCTGGGCTTACATAGGTTACAGATGGCTGCACGCACATATAGACTTGAAGTTAAGAGATGTGGATCTACGCGTGGTGCTGCGTGGAACTGTCGACGAATTGGAGCCACTGCTTCAAGGCGAGGCTTTTTTGGAATCTACGACATGGGAGTTTCCGAAAATTAGGGGTCCCTTATTTGGGGTCCTTATAATAAGGATTAGGGTACTATATTAGGGTCCCCTATTATCGGAAACTCCCACATGATGATGGAAGCCTGATACCTACGACTTTCAATCCCCTGGTGCCCCGGGTCTCTGAGTCCAACAGTTCATTATTTGGCGGAAGGTGCGGGCCAACATAGTGTAACTTGTCAGCAGATGCCATGTTGAGAGGGATTACGGTTACATGAAACAGACATGCTATGCAGAATCGGCTTCTTGTAGCTTTGTCGTCTTGAGGTATCTACACGTAGACAAGTCGAGATATCATTCAGACTCAACGTGCGCAAATAGTACGCACAAAAACTCTGTAAGCAGTGATATAGTACCTACTTACTCGGGCTTCAGGTATGGCTCAAAAGTCCCCCATTGTGGGTCCGTAGAGTTTTACTCGCAGACCCTGGATCAACACACCTCATCCGGATGCAAATACATTGAAACCTATAAAAATACGAGGGGTTGATAATCACAACTGCATTCGGGAAATGGTGGTTCAATGCCGTGCGCGAACAGGAACGGTTGTTGTTCAGGTTCCCGGCTTCAAGATCGCAAGGTCCCTTTGCCCATATAAACACAATGTTGCCCGAAGCGCTGCAAAGCAAATCCTGAGGGGTTCACCATAGCGTCTCAGGTGTAGCAAGGCAGCTGCGCGGCGATACTTCGACTTCAAATGCCCTCACCGAACTGGAAAGTGAGTTCTGGCTTACCCTACTTGGGGGGTCGGGGGACATAGTAAGTAGTTAGTAACTAGACTTATAAAGTACCCTAAAAGGGACCCTACTTGGGGTTATGGTACTTATAAGTCCCTAAAATAACCCGTTACTAAGTCCCCCGTCCCTCCAAGTAAGGGTCCATGTACCCAGATAGTATATACTTTGGGCCCAATGTACTTATATAGGGAGTACTTTAAGGCTGAGGCCAAAGAATATACTAGTTGGGTACATGGACCCTCAGGCTTAGTGTTTGGAGTTTAGGGCTTACTTGGAGGGTCGGGGGACTTTGTAACTGGTTATTTTAGGGACTTTTAAGTACCATATCCCCAATTAGGGTCCCTTTTAGGGTAGTTATAAGTCTACTTACTAACTACTTGCTAAGTCCGGCGACCCCCCAAATAAGTGGCAACTTTGCCTACGGCTCGTGGTATTCGTTGTATGGTGGCAAGCTCGATCGCGCCACATCGTCTTATTTGATTCATGATTTCCACCGCTGCTTCGCAGTGGTGCGTCCTCCCGGCGACGAGATTCTACAAGGTAAACGACGGCTGTTGCTTTACGTATGCCTGTCCCCACTTCTGCTGGCACTCTACGGCCCAGGGTAGGGATGCAAGGACGATGTCTTACCAGGAAAGGCCTGGGACTTTTCAACATGTCCTGTGCTTCACGCACACACTCAGATACGTAACTACAAACCTATATACATAGCATTCCTGGTTACTGCTACCCGGCCCAACCGCAAGCACCCCGAGCTGGCGGGGTTCAAGTTTGGGATATTGCAGGAATCTGACGAAGAATGCTGATCCTCAAACGGAAGCATCCATGTGGAGAACCCTAGTGAGAACAACGACTTTTCAACCAGGTTCATGCGTTCACCAACTGTCTACACCTGCTGCTGAACTTGACGTTTCTTCCGACACAGCCCTTGCCTGGCTCTGCTTTCAGGGAGGCGTCGGCATGCCGCACCTGAACTGCTGAGGAAGGCTGACTGTGCTGAGCCGAACAATGGCAGGGCAACAACCGCAAAATTCAGAATCAGAGCACCAGCAATGCCAAGGCCAGGAAGACTTCCCGGATCAAACTGATGGAGCTACGGGTAGGAAAGCACTCTCTGCTGCATTTCTTGCCCGTGGCGACTTTCGGAACCAAGGCATCCGATATCCTGCAAGTACCATACAACCTCGACTCCGAACCTCTTCTATCACTAAACCGTACAGCCCCTACATCCAGAGCCCTAACTCCGAACCCCTACTGTCCCTACTATCCCTATAAAGCGTAAAGCCCGAAACCACTAAAACCCCCAAACCCCCTAAAACCTCTAAAAGCCCCTAAAACCTCTAAAACCCCCAAAACTGCTAAACTCCGAGTCGGAGCCAAGGGGCGGAAGCTTCGTAGTCTCCCTGCTGATGCATTAGGAGGCTGAGATTGCGATGCAAGGCGCCTGCACCCAAAGGCCCCAAAGTAGTTCCTTTTTGGGGTTCGTATATAGAATCCTATAAGGTAACCCCAAAAAGGAACTACTTTGGGGCCTTAGGGCAGACCAATCGAAAGTGATGAGTTTCGGGGTTCAGGGTTTAGGAAGCCCCGTTTGCAGCTTCGACACGGCTGTAGTGGGCTTGGGAACGTCTTGTGCTCTGTTGCAGGTCTCGTTATATATATAGAGATCTTGCATGGCAACGCTTTCTGTATAGGACCTTTTACCACGGTTTCCGCGAGAGTCTCTGAACGTGACAGTCCAATGACGTTGCCTCCAGCGCACACGCTTCCGAAAGCATAACCCTTTGAGGGGGTTTAAGTAGGGTTTGGAACACAGAAGTACGATGGACCACACGTTCGAGTCGGATTGAAAACTCTGCATGTAACTCTCATTTGACAGGCTCTTGAGGCTAGGGCCAACACCGATGTGGACTTCTGTGACTCCTGCGCACTGGCATGGTTGGAATCTCTTCCCCGGAATATCTCAAGCAAAATGACTTAGGTCCGCCCAGAACATGATATAGCATGCATACTGTGAAATACGAAAGATGTTGCATTGATGCTGGGTCGGCAGAAAAAAGGACAGGGCGCTTTTGACGCGGGGACTCGCTTACCACACATGTCTTGTTATTGCTGTTGTTGCTGCTGGCAATGGTGGGTGTGTGGTGCAGGAGGAAGCTCTGGTGGCGATGGGCCTGGTCATTGATGCTGTTATTGTCCGTGCCTCAGGTGGGTCCCGGCAATGGCGCTTGGCGTGCAGATAGTGTTGTTGTGGCGGTCGCTGTTGCTCCAGCTGCTGCAGCTGCTGCTAGTGCTGGTGCAGGTGCTGCTGCTGCTGCGGCTGCTGCTGGTGCGGTTGACAATATTATGCTTGTTGTTGCCGCTGCTGTTGTCGCCGCCGCCGTCCGTTGTCATTATCGCGGTGCAAACATTGATTGTGCTCCAGCATTCGTATCAGTGACTGCAAAGAATAGACAACCGAAACATCAAGCAGTTCCTTGAGGTCTGAAGCCCCACCGTCCCCAAACCTTGTTGGCAAAACTCTCAAACCCCTAAACTGCCCTGAACCCTAAACTTCTAAAGGGTTAAACCTACCTTCAACCAGCTTCGAGGCGTTCAGAAAGTCTCGATACTCGAAGGGGTCTGTAGTTTGCCTCGGGAAACCCGGGCAGCAGCATATGGGGTCATTAAGTTGTTAGAGTTGGGGATCAGGGTATACTGCAAGATGAACATATAGTTGACTTCAAGCGTGTGTGTGTATGAATATATATATATATATATATATATATATATATGTATGTATGTATGTATGTATGTATAATATAATGCTGTTCTTACGTACTCAGTTGTTTATTTACTTATCTGTTTCAGTATGCAATTACTTACATGTTCAAACTGTACGACAAGTATATGGCTAAATACAAGGTGATGTTGTTCTGCATGGGGGAATAGCAAGCAATCTATATGTGACTATACGGTGGCACTTACTATGCCCCACGTTATTCAGACCTCTATCTTAAGATTGAGGCTTTGGGGTCTTGTTAGCTACTCACGAGCGTGGTTGTTACCCAGGCTGCCAAGTGGAAGTATTTTCGAGTATGGCTATCCGAACTGAACTACTTACAACTCTAGATTCTGACTGAGCCCAAACCCTACACACTACACTCCAACAGAAAACCCTAAACCCTAAAGCAGACAGGGCCTTCAAGTAGACTTGTGTTGTCCGTGCTGTTTGGAGGCTTCCAGGATATGCATGTTGCCGAACCCAAAGGGTCCTAGGTACTGTTATGGGGCATACTTCCCCAAATCATAATGGAAAGTCTTAACATCGAAACCCAAATTCAACTACATAGGGCCTTTAAATGGATCCCTTTTTAAAGGAACCTTATAGACACTCCACATGTTACTTTATAGGCACATTGGACCCTTTGCCGAACTGAGACAGCACCAATAAGAGAACTTCAGAAACCTGATCCCTTTAGTAAACGGGGCCTTGCTAACTACTGGGTTTGGTGGAATCCTACACTATGCTTACGATAAGGAATCCCAAATTAATATGGGTTGCAAACAAGCATACGCTTCTCAGCTTTCAACCCCGCTCTCTTCTAAAGGCGCCCAAGTTGCAGTCCCTCTAAGGCCGCGAGCCCGGCAGCTTTGGCAACGCAGCTGACCCCGAGGGAGTACCTCGTTCTGTGTGTTGGGGTGTGCAATCCACGTTGGAGGCTGTTGTCGTCCACGAGGGTTCTACGGGGCTTGGAGACAGACATAAGCTCCCTTGCGCAGCTCAAGTTCTAACATCTCGAGATTCGGATTGTCAAGTGTTATAGCCGAAGACTGCGCAACTATCCTGCAAACAATAGAACATGATACTCGCGATTACAAAAGGAAGCCCAGTGCACGGGAGGATTGCTAATCATTGAGGCTTCTACATCAGGGTCTGAGGTTCTTGTTTCAGGGGTGTACCTACGGCTGTGCATTGAAGGAAACCTAAACCCCAGTCCGTAAACTCCAAACGCCCCGAAGAAGGCACTTTACCTTCATTGATCTGCCGCCTGTATTGGGGACCTGTCCTAAGGACAACCCGGCTTTGGATGCCTTTATCGTCTTTGTCCAGTTGTCATCATGTCATAATTGATCCCACAACCCCGTTCTAGTTACTTAGCACCTGTCCTATACCATATAAAACCCTCTTTCATGCACAAGCGAGTCTGCTCTTTTTTATCAGATGTTTACTTATTTATCTTAATAAGTGTGGTCCCTCATATTCATTATATAATAAGCAAAAAAACAATAAAAGCAACAATGACAATTATAAAGGATCCACGGGAACCTGGGGAAAAAGAGGCTCCCTTTTGGGTGTTGTATAGTCTTGAAGGGAAACTGAGACTACAAAAATGAAAAAAGGACCCACTGGGAGACGGAAGACCTAGTAGACGTTCAAACAAAGGGGGTAATTACAAATATATATATATATATATACTATACAGAGAAAGAGAAAGAGAGAGAAAGAGAGAGAGAAAGAGAGAGAGAGAGAGAAATACAAAAACATTCTACTGCAGTATACAGGTACTTGGGACCCTAAACCCTAAACCACAAAGTTCAACCAAAGGGGCTGCTCTTGGGCTGTTCCCGGCTTCTCCGAGAGGAGGTCGTTCCCATCCTTCCGGTGTTTCCAGGCTCCTGTGCAACCGAAAGCTCGGGAGGGGGTCTAGGATTTAGGGTTGAGGGGTCTCGGATTTAGAGTTTTTTTTTAAAGTGCAATAGCCGGATTTAGAGTTTAGGGCTTAGGGGTTTAGAGTTGAGGGGGTTTAGGGTTTAGGGTTGAGGGGTCTCGGATTTAGAGTTCAGGGTGGAGGTGTCTCGGATCTAGGGCTTTAGAACATTAGGATTTAAAGTTTTGTTTTCAGGATGCAGTGATTATGCCGGAATCAACAAGTGGCTGCACACACGCCGGGTTCCTTTATGATTTTCTTGTATCGTAGACCTCCTCACAAAGGTAAACTTTCGGTTACGGGGGCCTTGGTATAGCCCAAACCCTGCCCACTCAACATTCCAAAACCCTGAAATGCACAAGCCCATAACACCTAACAGACCCCAAGCCCTGCTCCCAAACGCTGAAACCCTGAACCCCTGAACCCTTGAACCCCTAAACCCTAAACGCACCAGCCGAGGCACTTCGAAGAAGAGACCAGGCGACGTCGACGGTGCTTTGGTCGCTGTCGCAGGTCTCCGGTGCTTCGAGCCATTGCACAAGCCCTTGCATGTGGGACCTAGGCACCTCGGGCTTAGAGTTCTAGGATGCCCAGTAACCTAGGATAAAGGGCTCCCTTTTTTGGTATAGTAAATTTATAAGGAAGCTAGGACTACAAAAAGGGAATGAGGGTACTACTGGGCATCCTAGAGTTTGTGGTTCTAGGAACCTCAGGCCTAGAGTTCGGGGTTTGCGGTTGGCGCTTCGGGTCTAGGGATTTGGGCTTAGGATTTCGGGTTGAGGGTAAGGGTCGAGAGTTGAAAGTTTACGGCTCGGGCTGAGTCTAGGGCTGGGGTGTGCGGAACACACAGCAAAGCTGGCTCCGTCCATGCGATGCATTTGGTTAATTATTATAGGTGGAATAGGTTTTTGGGCCATAACCATGACCGTAATCAGGAACCCGTTAGGTCCCTACATATGCTGGCCAAGTATGTTTGCATGTAAGCACCGAACCTATATGCAGAAGAGCCTTCCAAAGATGTCAAGCTAGAGCGGCTGCGAATGAGGCCTTGAGTCATGAGCGTCCACATGGGAGTTTCCGAAAACAAGGGACCCTAATATAGTACCCTAGATAGTAGGATCCTCATTATAAGGACCCCAAAACAAGGTAACCAAATTTTCGGAAACTCCCATATCGGGTTGGCCTAAACCTTACGGGTTCATGTTCAGGACATTTGGCTTGAGGGTCGTGAGCTTGGGAAACGCCTCAAACCCAGGGAATCGACCTTTCGAGTCAGGTGAATTGAAAAAGTCTTCGAGCACCACCCAATGCTCCCGAAGAGCCCACCTAGAGTAGTTCATCAAGACGCCTTGGAATAACAGATTGAATCCAATCTCTTAGGGTCATCATTGCCTTGCGAACGTACGTTACATGGCTATTCCTGAATGAAGCACGAACATTGGCCTAAAATACAAAGACCTCTTTTGCGTTCTCGGGGTTGCGGTTTTTGACCAGCCGCCATTGAGCTTAGTCGTTACCAAGGATATAGGGGGCCTTTGTAGTACCTTTGCGAAGCAATTCTGTGGGTATGATCCTGCATCCTAACCCTAAACCACAGAGACTACAGATAGTGTCTTCTTTAAACGTCCTGATGCTAGTGGTGCATTCTTTGGAGGATCAGCCATGCGGCCCTGGTTTGGAAAGCTAGGCACATGACCAACCAACAACAAGTCTTGTTCACATTGACATGTAATATGATATTTGCCTTTCGGATAAAATATGTGATCTTAAACTGCCGAACCAACGTCATGCTCTTACAATGCAGCTGCCGCCATACATCCTAAACATAAGCACATACCATGCCCTGTTTGACAAATGCACCCCTTCCCCGAACCTGAAACCGCAGTATCCTCCCATCTGCAAGTTGCGCCTGTAAAATGTACGAAATCAGTCGATGACAAGAACAGGTACCAAATCGCAAAATTGTGTGGCCATCGTTGGCCTCGTGCCCACATTTCGTGCCAAAGCCTCCCACCTCAGTTTGGGATTTAAGGAACTTCTACTACTAGGAGCTCTTTAGTTCAGAGGGTCTTAAGAGCTTAGTGAACTTGGAGGCTCATGGGTAGCTTATCAGTGGAGTTATAAGTACCCTGTTATGGGCTAAAATTACGGTTACCCTACATGTAACCCCCCACTTATAACTACCCATGAACCTCCACGAAGAGGCCTTAATGATCCGTAAAGGGACGATTGCGACAGCATGTTCAGCCTCTTGCCTTGGCTCTCAAACAACAAAACCTTGCAGGGACATTCAGATTGTCCACAGCAAGCCTTTGGGCGGGACACGACGCAACAAAAGTACACAGAATGTAGGCCCAATATACTACTGAACATATCACCAGAAACCCCCGAAAAGGCGTTGCTAGATGTCCCACCCTAAACCCTAAACCCCTAAACCCTAAACCCTATCCTGAGCAACCAGTCCCTGAAGTGCAGATCTCCTTGGCCTCGCAATCCCCCCGCCCGAGACCAGGCCAAAGGGAGAGACTGCCGGGTTGAGGGTTTAGGCCCTCAACCCACGAGGACCCTAAACCCTCAACCCTAGGACCCTAAGGCCTAAGCCCTAAACCCTAGGACCTTACCCTGAACCCTTACAAGGTAGGCTGACACTTCTGGGCTCTTGTTGAGGAAGTTAGTTTGATGTACCATAAAAGGGCCCAGAAATCCGAGGCAAAACCCTCAAAATTGGAAGGTACGTAGTTGGAGACACAGCTACACCCACAAACACTAAATCGTCCGAACTCTACCATTCTACACACAGTCTACGCCATACATCCCAAAGCATGACGCCCGATAATCCCCAAACCCCATAACCCTCAAACCTGGTAGATATATCCAGCAAGGAAACGAAACCCGAACTACATAGCCTGAGGAAATCACCTATAGAACCGCTTTGCACCTATGTACATAGCCCTTATGCAACCCTAAAATGGCCCGCGAGAAACTCTTCTAGAAACCTGTTATACCCTTCAGTCTCTGTTGAAGACTGGGCGAAGCAGCCGGCAGGGGAGGTCCTGGAGCAGTTTCCTGCAGAGCAGAATGCTTATGGGGATTTCGGGTTTCAGTTGTAAGGCTTTCAGCTTTCAAGAAGACGTTTTAAGGTTTCTGCAAAGGTTTAGGGATTTAAGGTTCCGTAAGGGTGCAGGTTTAGGGTTTGAAGGGTTTTAAGGCTTCTTTAAGGATTGATATAGGACCTTAGTTGAGGCGATGTTCCGGGCTTTGGAGAGCAGGGGCCATAATTTTACTGATCAAGCTTCTGTCGTGCTTAGTATCTGCTTAGAATTTCCGGGGTGTGGGTAAGGTCATGAAGTATGGTTTGGGGAGTTCCTGAAAGTGACTCCTGCACAGATCTTTGGAGGACCCCCATTCATTCTGGACTGCTTTTTCGTAGAGCCCTACGAGGAAGTAGCTCATGGTAGGTTACGGTAGAACCCTAGTCCAATATGTTCGGTTACTATCTTCGGGCCTTGCGTTTGACCCCTCGCACAGACAATCAGGTCTTTACGGAAAGCTCAGACATGGGTAGCTTTAGTTCTAGTCATTTCCTAACACTTCGCGGAGATAGCGTGAGCAGCGGATGGAAGGTTTGCCGCTGGCGCCGCATCGCACCGCTGGTGGTATGGAGACGACTGGCACGAGTCGAGCCTTTAGCCTCTTTCACAGAGTTTCTGATTTTCAATGAAGAGGGATGTGCTGATGCACAGAGGTGCTCAGCCGTGAAACTCGCCCTAAAAATCTACCTGTACCCTGAACCTACACCATATCCTCACGAATGGGTAGTTCTCTAACATCGGGTCCCCTTCTTTAGGCCCCCCAAAAAGTACGGCGCCCTTATCAAAGGACCCGAGATTAACGAACTACCCACAGTCTAAACTCAAACTGAAACTTCCAAGGCCCGCGCCTCGCGGTGCAGCAGTGTGTTCTGCAAGTAGTAGCTTTGCCGCCTGTGCTTCTGCGATTCTCGTCTAAGGCCTAGGGAGCTGCTGGTTCATAGCATGGATTCCTTAATAACTAGAAGAGGGGTCGCTTGAGGTTTCCTGTTAAGGGTTCTATGGGGCTTCTATATGGCATTCATGGGGCCCTAATCGGTCTTGATACAGGAGCCTTACCAATTTCAATAGCTATTCGGGGTATCATGCGAGTGTTGTGACGAGGACTTCTGAGACCCAGTATTGGTAATTATTCAGGCTTCTCTGCGAGTAGCTCTCTAAATTAGAGGGCCCGGTATAGGTTCCCAAGACCCCCAAAGAGACCCTCATCTAGAGAACTACCCATGTAACATTCGCCTTTGTTTGTAAGCCCCTCCAACGAAGCTTGTGGAAAGGATCCGAGAACCATGGTGAAGCCTGCATAGACCCTAAAAGGGTTTAGGGGTTTAGGGTTTAGGGTCTAGGGTTCGGGGTTTAGGGTTTAAAACCACAGGGCTCCAAAATGGCACAAAGGAACTTGCGAAAGCAGGTACCGTGTAGAAATTTTGGACTCCCAAGTTGGTACTGTCTGTATACTTGGAGTCTTAGGAAAACTCTAATCCACTCCAGGACGCCTGGGACCCAAATCTCTGAACCAGAACAAAAACACAGAGCCTAAACACTCCAAGATCCGGGCATGGAAAGCCACTGAGCCACCAAACCCTAGACGAGATAGATCTGTATGAAACCACCTCATGAAAGCCCCCTACCCTACTGGAACCTGATGCGCCCGCTAAACAATCTCTTCGAACACCTCCATAAACCCTGATAAAAGCAACAACACGTCAACGGTGTGATGGAACCTCTACAACCCCCAAACCCCTAAACGCTAAACTGAACCCTAAACCCTAAATCCTAAACCCTGAACCCCTAAACTCTAAACCCCTACGACCCCATACGTAGGAAAGTGAAACTTTTCTTCAACTCCCGATGCTCTCAGCTGAGGGGCGGCTTCTTGCCACGCGCTTCCGCCACCTCCGGAGCTCTCAGAAACCCTGTAACGGTTTAGGGTTTAGGGTTTGGGGTGTGAGTTTGGGGTTTAGGGCGTTTGTGGTTTAGGGTGTGGAGTTTAGAGTTTGGGTTTAGGGTTTGGGGTATGAGTTTGGGGCTTAGGATTTGAGGTTTAGGGTGCCACCAGAGCTCACGTTGCCTAACTACTAGGTTTAGTGTTTGAGGTTGAGGATTTCGGGCTCAGGACATAACGTGTTTGGCAGCCTCCCACTTAGGTAACTTGAGCCCTATGGCAAGCTTTGAAAGCCTTGCTGTCTTTATGGTTTTGCATACGAGATTCCTTCCATGTGTAGGATTCTTTACGAGGTCCTGTAAGTAAGGGTACTAGAACGGTTTCCGCATACTGGGAGTCTAAAATTCCGCGGCTTTTGGGGTTCGGGTGTAGGCAACAGCGCACGGTTACAAATCACGAGGCTTATTAATGTTCTCTAAGACTTTTCAAAGGTTTTGCAGGGCTGCGTAGGCATTCATGGGTGTTCAAAAGAATGGCGGTAGCATGGAAATAAGTCTTGCCGCTGGGTCTGAAGTAGATATGCAAGTGTCTTCACTTTCATTCTACGGCTGGTTACGAAGTCCCATGATCCTTCAAGACCGTTCTGGCCTTCTGCCGGAAGTTGGGGAAGCGCATTTCCCTCCGCTCGTTCGTGGGTGCCTCCGCAGGCACGGCTGAAGGACATTCGTTCATAGACCCAAAGATGTGAGGGCGAGGTGTTGAGAATCTCTGCAACCTTCGGCGGTTCAAGTGCTTGGAGTTGAACATACCCCTTATGAACCTGATGTAGCCCGCATAGTGATACTACACACCCAGCAAGCTAAACCTTAAACCGTGATACGGCTGAGGGTAAAAATCCTGCATGACCCTAAGGATCCTAAACTATGGGAATTATGGTATATTCCTTCTAATGGGTCATGCAGGATTTAAATCATCTACAGTAGAACCCGTGTGATAAGCCTTTTGGGGCATCGATCGGAGCTCGAGTTGAGAAAGCAGCTGAGGTTCCAACGATTTTGTATCCGCAAGGGTTCTTGTCCTGCGAGAGATCCTGGGGCAGGGTGTAGGGCGTACTTGGAGGGGTTGGGGGACTTAGTAAGTAGTTAGTAAGTAGACTTATAACTACCCTAAAAGGGACCCTAATTGGGGTTATGGTACTTATAAGTCCCTAAAGTAACCAGTTACTAAGTCCGTCGACCCGCCAAGTGGCGTCTTGGGCTTACAGGGTTTACGGTTCTAGGGCTACTGGAATCCTGGACACATCATACTGTATCTCATGGCTCAAGGCTATCCAAACTACGAACATAGGGCTTAGGGTTCAGGGCTTCTGGGGTTTAGGGCTTGGAGCTTTTGGGCTTAAGACTCTAAACCAAGTCGCTAGCGCATGTCCTTGTCTTGAAAAATCTGGCTCGGAAAAAACCAGAGCACGCAACACATAGTTAACCCGAATCATGTTCAGGACATTTGGGAGCTGAGGGGTGGCTAACACCATTGATGCCAGGGGTCCTGTCCTCAAATGGACCCCTGCTGCAACGAGCCAGCAAGCCCAATATGCCAGCTGGCACAAGAAAGTCGCACGTGCAGGATATCCGTTTCTGTCCAAGCAAAAGAGAATCACATGTGCCAGTATATGACTATTAAAATGTAGAAGTCAAAGCAGGAAAGCAATGAAATACATCGGCGAAATGTACAACGTCTGTATGTTGGCACAAACAGAAACGAAACCACACCGAAGCGCTTGATTGAACTAGTATGGGATTTTCCGAAGATAGGGGACCATAATACAGTACCCTACATAGTAGGATCCTTTTTCTAAGGACCCCAAATAAGGTACCCCTATTCGGAAACTGCCATATGCCAAAACCGAGGCCAGTGGCATAGTAGGCAAACCTTCCTTTGCTGCTGGCCTCAGCGACAACAGGCTGTAGGGACGCAGAAGCTGCAGGATTTACATGATGCGTGGGCTGTGGGGTTTGGGGCTTGGTGGTTTTACGCCTTTCAGCGTTGGGCATACATTTGAGGGTTGTAGGTTTTCTAAGCCAAAACTGTTCTTGCAGTGTTTGGGATAAGGGTAGACGACATCTAAGCTTGCCTAAGGCGCCATAAAGAGGGTTGAGTTTCACGCTGCAGGACTAGCGCATGCAGCTTAGAGGTGCATGAAGGTGCAGACTTACTTCCTCAAGCTTACAAACCTAAACCCTAAACCCTAAACCCCTAAACCCTAAACCCTAAACCCCTAAACCCTAAACCCAAAACCCTATAAAAACCTGAAAGCTGAACCAATGCCCTGAACCCTGAGCTCCTAAACGCAAAATCCAGAGCCCTAAAGCCTCAACCCCAAAACCCCGAACCTCAAAGATCCTGATACCAGACCTTATAATCATTACCCATAGGCCCCAAAGTAGTTCCTTTTGGGGGTTCGTATATAGAATCCTATAGAGTAATCCCCAAAAGGAACTACTTCGGGGCCTATGGGTAGGGCAACCCTTATGTAGTATGCTTACCACGTACAGTAACCCGAACTCCTTCTGCGGAGCCTTCAGATCCGAACCGCGAGAGCACCAGGAGTGAGCGCCCCACGGGTGCGCAAAGAACGAAGAAGTTGTCCACGTCGGCGAGGTATCTCCTCGGATGAGACTGACAACTCAGTTGCCTTGCTCTAAACAACCCTAAACCCCTAACCGTGGACGGCAAGGTGTTGCTGCTTCTTACCTTAACGTTTGGGTGAGCCACATCCGCAGCTCTTCAAAACTATAAACGATCATGCGCAGCAGGGGGTTCACTACTGCGAGCTACGACGGATGTGCAGCGACTGCTGGGTGACACCTTGACATGGCTTGGGGGTAGTTCAAGCTAAGGCAGCTAAGGGTATCTCTTTGAGGTACTGTCTTCGAAGAGAACCTGAGCCACATAAGTCTTCGGGTTCAGCTATACAGTTTCAGGGTGTAGGGTTAGGGTTGCAGGGTTAAGGCTAAGGGTTGCAGGGTTTAAGGTTTCGGGTGCAATTGGAGTTCAATGGCTCGTGTTTAACGTTCAGAATAAACCCCACGCGGAAGCCTCAATCAGTGCCCAGGCACTCCAAATAGTCGAAGTTCCATCTTTCCACAGCCTCCGTGCATTGAGGCCAATACAGGAGCCTTCAAAACAAGAAAACAAAACATGCAAAACAATCACTGGGTTGAGGGCTGTATTACGGTCTATAAGGACTACAGCAGGCTAATCTTATCAGCTATTCCAGCCTCCATTTCACAGCTCTCCTTGACCCCTACACCAGTTTGAGAAGCTCCGTTCTTCCAATTCATGGTGTCGGGCTGAAAGAGCTTTCGATGCAAGCTGCATAGTTCGGGGATTCCAAATCTGGGAATTGGACCTTTTGGCTATGGGTTGAGGTCAAACCTGGGACCTGGGCCGTCAAGGTTCGCGGCTTGGAGTTTTTAGTAGACGCATGGTCCTGAACATCCTATACAGAGATTTTTCAGGTTCTACGGATGCTGCTGTTGGAGGTGTTGGAGTTGCCTTCCACACTATGCAAAGTCTTCGGTTCTGGTTGTGTTCAATCCCCATAAAGGGGATTAAGTACCCATATAGTAGCGATATTCTAGGAATTACTGCTGTATTCATGACTTGCGGAGGTAGGACCCTTTGAGAATGCATCTCGAGATGCAGACTTCGCTCCCCCAGCAAGGCATCAAAACTGAGCTTGCGATAACTGCGCTCCAACGACACACTTCCGGTTCCTCTTCCCAAATACAAACCCTTGGCCCGAACCCCTGAAACTCGAACACAGCAAGAACAACGGTTACCCAGAAGAAGCCTTGTAGAACTCTTGCCAAGGTTACCGATGTAAAAGCCCTTCCTTACATATCACGCGCCTCAAACCCAAAATCTAATACATTACAAGATTCCTGGCGTAGCTTCAAAAAATACTCAGACCCGCCTGCTGCGCCAGGTCCGTCCCCGTGAGCACCACCGGCACCGACGCGCGCCTTTTTGGAGCGTCGGAGCTTCTTCACTGTAGTGAGGTCAGGGAGATTCACAAGATTACTCAATGCTATAATACAGGCACAGCTTTGTAAATTTCTGGGGTAGGAGAGGTTGATACAAGCTGGTGATTGTAAACGGTGCTGCGGAGGTCTTGGGCGTGCCAGGTTTGGTAAGCATTATCACTACTGTTGAGAATATAAATGCTGCATAAGGACCCTAAACTGTGGGAATTATGGTATACACCTTACAATAGGTATTGCAGGATTTATAACATCTACCGTATGATGAATTACAAGGTTTTCATACATATTGTGCGTATGGGGCCGTTCCTGTCCGGTCTGCCTCACGAGTAGTGGATCGTAGCTATTCGCGAGTGTTAGCTAAAGGCCATAAACCGGTTTAGGTTTAAGGGTCTACCCAGAGGCCCCAAAGTAGTTCCGTTTTGGGAGTACCCTATAAGATTCTACATATGAACCCCACAAGGAACTACTTTGGGGCCTTAGGGTAGGGTATAAAGCTTTCAAGCTTCAGGATTGAGACGTTCATGTCTGCTCTGAGTTTTCTACCCGAAAATGTGTACGTCGATATTGAAAGTCATGCCGTTCCTCTAAAGCCACAAAGCCATTCGACACCTCCAATGGCACAAACCCATCAACACCCAAACACTACTACTGCTACTACTACTACTACTGCTACTACTACTGCTACTGCTACTACTGGTACTAGTTCCACGTGCCTTACAGTGAACTTTTAACCCAGCTCAAACCCCAATATCCCAGCTCCTATGGGCACCGAACACTAAACCCTGAAACCCATCACATCGTAAGGTCTTACAAACCCTGCAGCCGCAATAAACCCCAAATCCAAAAGCCCTAAAGTCCTAAAGCCCTAAGAAACCAAATGCACTTCCACAACTGAGCCCGTGGCAGAAGGCTCGGGACCTGCAACTGTCGGGTTTAATTGTGTATAGCCTATATGTGGTATTGATAAGGGTCATCGTATACGGTTCCACAGGGTGCTTGCCCCAGGACTCAGGACATGCTACTTGGGTATGTTTAAGCAGCCTGGACAGTCACAACTTGGCTGGAAACTTTGACGATAGGTGCCAGCAGCACATATACAAGGAAGAACCGCGGCTGGAAGAGTACTGTTTGAGTGGAAGCATATTCCCAGGCCCCCGGGAGGATCCAAAAAGGTAGATCCTGAAATGGGGGTTCCTGTAAAATACCCTTAGTAGTATAGGGCCCCAAATTAGGGGATCTACTTTTTAGATCCTCCCGGGGGTCTGCCCAGAGACTCCAATATCCCTTAATTAAGGAATATTCCTTAAATTATAGTAGGATCCCTTATATTATGTAAGGAATATCCCTTAATTAAGGGATATTGGAGTCTCTGGGTGGGTTTCTACTGGGTTTGGGTAAAGGAAACCTGAAGACACCCAAAAGATCCCTTAAAGGAACCCTATAGATCCCTAAAGGAACCCCAAAGATCCCTTAAAGGAACCCTGAAAGGAACACCCAAAAAGCCTACTTGACTGCTTTGACCCTTGTATCCTCTGCTGCCGAGATTGCAGCGGGCTTGTGCTTCCTTAAGGACGAAATGAACCTCAAAAGGGTTTAAGGTTCATATACCATATAAGAATTCATAGTATAAGGGTATAGGGTCCATACTTATAAGGGTCATTTGGTCCCCAAGGTTGAGTGCATTCCCCACTATGTGGAGGTCCGGCTTAGGGTTTAGGGTTTTAGGGTTTCGGGCTTTAAGGTATTAGGGTTTTAATCTATTAGGGTATTGGGGCTGTAAATTTTCAGGGTTTAGGATTCAGGGTTTTTGGGTTCAGGGGTTTAGGGTGTATGTGTATTTAGGGTTTAGGGCTTAGGGCTTCCGTCTCCAGTGGGTTTCGGAAAGAACCGAAACTCAAAAAGCACAGCTGCATGCAAAGGCCTCCGGATCTCGCGCGTCCAGGCGCACCACCGAGGCACCAACTAGCGATCGATCGTACCTGCCCAGGTGCATCAGGTAGGGATAGGGTTTGGGGTGTAGGGTTTAAGGGTTTTGGGTTTAAGGGTTTAGGGTTTAGGGGCCTTGACGGTTAGAATCAGGACTGTGCGAATCAAGTATTCAGACAAACACAGGAACGGTCTCGCTGCATATTTGGACCAGAGTACAGGGGTGCTGTGCCTGTGAGGCAACTAAACTGAAAGGACAAATATGTGCCGCCGAACAAGACAAGACCTATAGTAATACAAGAGTAAGAGATAGGACATCTTAAACATCTTGTGCCCGACACCATGATGTGCATCACACGGCTCTGGGCTTTGATCTTTGGCGGTCGGGAACTAAAATTCGTCCACTGAGCTATACTTTGGAAACGGAGCCTGACAAGGGTTCACCCATAGGCCCCAAAGTAGTTCCTTTTTTGGGGGTTCGTATGTAGAATCCTATAGAGTAGTCCCAAAAAAGGGCTATTTTGGGGCCTCTGGGTAGCGACATCTCGGGTCATGAAGCAAAAGACTTTCTGCAATGATGCAGGACAAGCAGTGGGCCAGGGAATCTGGATGCTTGTCCGAGAACTGCACTATTACATTTTAGTTAGTTGCAAGAAAAAGTGTACGAGAAACCCCTGGTACGGCAATGTAGCATCATGTGGGTAGTTCTAACTCCGCTGTTTCCATTGTGAATAGTCGTGCTGCCGGTGACACTCAGATCCAACACAAACCGTTGGTCACAGTCAAGTATTCCTGTTTGAGCTTGGGTAACACGCATGAAGATGCTGGTGATGATATTGGCCCCGATCATGATGATGATTATGATGCTGAACTGGGCCCGTAGCTACACCGCTGAGTCCTTTGACCTGCTTCCAGCGGCAATCTGGTGATCTGCCGATCCGTCAACAAACATACTTGCACCAGTAAGCTGTCAAAGTGGATACTGGATACGGCTCCTATAGTGAACCCTATCTGATCGTCATTCGATTTCAACCACCTACAGAAAGCCCTCCTTCCTGCTGGAGTACCTTGGGGTCGAAGCAGCAGCCCGGGAGGCATGTTCAGAGCCTGGAACTAGCTGGGGAGATCTAAGCTCTGTGTATAGAGTTTAGTCTGCGGCTCAGGGCTTAGGGTTTAGTTTAGGGCTTAGGGTTTCCGGGAAGTTTCGGTCAAAACCGCAAACCCTAATCCAGGGCATCAGACGGTCCAAGGCTCAGGGTGTTTGGTTTGGGCTCATGCAGCTTATGCATCATAAACCTTAAACCCTAAACCCTCCTAAACCCGAAACCCTAAACCCCAAACCCTAAACCCTTACACCCGAAACCCTAAACCCCAAACCTTAAACCCTAAACCCTCCTAAACCCTAAACCTCAAACCAGGAAGCCTCAACCCCACAGGTCTTGGGGGCTTTGGCATTCAGGGTGTGGGGTTCCGTGTGGGGTGGGAGACTTCGGGGTTAACACACCGGGTGTGAAACAAGGGTTTCGGGTTTAGTGGTGTAGGGTTTAGGTTCTTTTTGAGCCCCTTTTCCATCTTGCAGAAGTCTGCGAACAGAAGGTCCATGACCAGGGGACGGGAGCAAACAAGGGTTTAGGGCTTAGGCTTTGTGGTTTATTGGGATTTTTGGGGGTTTAGGGTTGGGGTTTAGGCCTTGGGGTTGTACAGTGTAGGTCGTCGAGGCGAGGATCAGAAGGGTCGAGGTTTGCAGGAGTTGGAGTCCCGGAGTTTAGGTTCGAAGGACTTACCCGACGAAGCCTGAAGAACTTAGCTACACAATGCAATCCTACTGTTGATGATATACATCCTGCATTACCCCAAGGACCCTAAACTATGGGAATTATGGTATGTTCATTATTAAGGGCAATGCGGGATTTCTATCATCAACCGTAAAGCTTCTGGCAAACAGCCGAAGACAGCCAACGGAGTTTGTCCGGCACTTAAGCTACTGCAAAGAACACCCGATCCCCTTCCTCACCGAGATGGAGTTCCTCCCCACCGTCCCGGCATGTCGCACAAGTGGAACAGCGGCCGCTTGTCTGCTGGCAATCTCGTCACACTGATCTGCATGCCCACGTCGAAGATCATGGTGCTGCGTTTGGACTCACTCTTTTGGGTCCTTTTCGAGCTTGTGCAGAGCTGCAATGGCTGCCTGCGTGCACGCAGACTTTATCATTATCCGGACATGCTTGAAGCATGTTCGCAGTCACTATAATCCGTAAACCCTATATTCCCCAAGCCCATAATATAGAAGCCTTGCAGCATTGCATTCTTGCTTGATTTCAATTTCGCGAACCCTGAGAATAGTGCTATTCATTGTTTCAGATATCTATAGGTACGCCTGGGCCTGGACTCTATGCTTGATTTCCCTGAACCCTAAACCCCTAATTCGAAACTCTCTGCTTGATTTCGTAGCCTGGAGGGCTCCCACGGCGGCAGGGGAAACCGTCGGACACGACGATACCGTCGCAGCTGACCTTCTGGAAAGCTGAGATTTAGACATGTTTCAGAGGAGGGTTTAGGGGCTTAGGTCACATTATTTGGTTGTGTGCTTGATTTGTTTTAGTTTTGTTTGGGGGTGGGGGCTTGGAGTTTAGAGCTTCGAGTTTGAGGCTTTAGGCTCTTGAGGTTTGCGGTTCCCCTGGACCCGTGCAGCTTGAAGACATGACTCCACGCGGAATAATCAGACACTATGTTTTTTGGATCGACCTGGCGACTGGTTACTAGAGTTGCTGGCGGTTCAGGCAGGACTTCTACGGCAGAAGGGCTGCTGTCCAGCAGTGCTTGGTCTAGTATTGGTGTTAGGAAAGTTTTCGCTGTGAATATGGAATGGCGAAGCGGGACGAACTTTGCTTGGTTTCGGTTAAAGCTATGATGCCGTTTCGGGTCCTGAGGTACAGCGGTGTTAAGCCTCAAGATCTAGACTAGACCCGACATGCCTTACGAGCTACAGTTTCTGGGCGAACTCTCTAACTCGAGGGACGATAGTTCCCAAACATTCAAAGACTGTTCCCAAGTAGGCCTAAGAATTGGTTCTAAAAGGCACCGGTAGGGGCGTCGAATTTCAATTACGTCCTTTGGGCCCTCCTGAAAGCTCCAGCGCCCCGAACCCCTCGCGCCCAAACCGGACAATGATCCTGGAAACCCTGATATTGAAAGGGGAAGAGGAGGGACCCTTAATGGGAAGCCCTACCCCATAATGGCCTATATAATGGGTATATAATAGCTATATTCAGGGTATATACCTAGGGGTCCTTCTTAGGGGTCCCTCCTTTTACCATTTGATACAGAACACCCGAAGATCCTGAAGAATCCTATCACCTAAGCCACTCAAGCCCGAAACTATGGCTGATGATAAAAATCCTGCATTACCTTAAGGACCCTAAACTATGGGAATTATGGTATATTCCTTATTATGGGTCATGCAGGATTTATATCATCAACCGTATGGCTTCATGAACGTCCTAAGCCCGAAAACCCCCGAGGCCCGAAACCAACAACTTCACAAAGGAACTCTCACCGAGGAAAGCTTACAGTTTAGGGCTTGGGATTGCAGACCCTAGAAAATCTACTTTTCCGCGGGACGGTATGAGGCAAGCATCGCAAGAAGCCCGAAAAGTAGGCTCTCCGGATGCACATTCTCTAGGATGTTGAGCTCAGGGCCTATAGCATTTAGAAGCCTGCATACTTGCTACGACCAATCCTTTCAAGACTTGCACACTAATCATTCCCAGAATCCTAGTCTAAATATTCAAAAGCCCTACATTAGGGTTCGAAGTCCTAAACCCTAAACCCTAAACCGAAGTTCAGACTTGAAGTTCGTGGCCTGCTGCCAGAAGTGCTCGATGCTGCAGATCTGCGCATGGCTCGGCTCAGGGCTCGGGGCTTCCGGTTTTATGAGTTTAGGGGCTCACGGCTCCCCCCCCAAAAGAGCAAACTTAAACCCTACCTTAACCCGGAATAACCTACCTTTTTAAGGACTTATATAAGGAAATCATAATAGGGAGCCCTAAAAATGTAGGTTTTCAGGGTTAATATAAGGTAAACCCTAATCCCCAAGCTTTAGAGACCTCTTCCCCTCAGACTCCAAGATATTCGGAGAAGTCTTTTCAGGGGCAACTTCGGCGATTCGTCTTGGCAAAGAGGCTCAGCAATACTGCAAGCACATCCTGACGGCCCCTTGAACTTTGACTGGGGTCTGGCTAAGGTGATTTAAATCAAATTACCCGAATAAGGAAACCCTAGTATTTACTATGGACCCTTGTTATGGTACCTCATTAAATCCACTAAAACAAGAACCATATTAATTACTATAGATCCCTGTAATGATACCTTAAACTGAATCCTTAAACAAGAACCCAGTTGGCAGGCTGGCATCCCAGGCCTCCTTTGCAGCTTTACCTGAAGCTCGGGGCTTTGGCCAGGGTCGCTGTACTCTACGGGTCCAAGTAGTCCTCATTTGTGGTTCTTTGGTACCCCCAAAAGGCACAAACCCCAAAGTCCTATAAGCATCAGGAGTACTTATTAGACTGTTAGGGGTAAGGCTCGTCGAAGCCTCTGATATTTTTTGCGGCGGAGGTCTAGGACGGCAGCTGCAAACCGGCAGTACACTTTAAGACACCATTGATGGTGCAGCACGCAACAGCATGCATGACCAAGCTGGAAGATTTATGCATGCCAGCTTCTGATTCGTGTGGAGGACCCTATGGGGCGTGGGGGGTGACGAACAAGGCCCGTACTCTGCCACTGATGTTGGTTGCGGCTTGTGTCTAGGTTTGTTTTTTGTGTCCCGACAGAAACTTCAGGAATTCAAGAACACCAATCGTGTGTAAACCGCCCCCAACTACGAATCGAATCGACCGTCTCTGAGACGTTTTCCGTCTCCCCGAAAGTTTGTGTGGAAGGGCAGCAGGAATGCGGGAAGGCTTCGGTCAGGTGTAATTAGCAGGGTAAGTGGCGACATGAACGCGGCAGCGGAAAAAGATACCGACTTTGCCCCTTATCAACTCTGATATAACCCAACATAAATATCTGAAACCTAAACGAGGAGAATAAGGTGCTAGCGTTGAGTCGGCTTTCCATCTAGAGACTTCAGGCCTTATCACACTGGAAGGTCCTCCCTGTCTCTGAGCCTCAAGGACGAAATTCAAAGCTCTCATTCCATCCCAGACCCACGTCAACAGGAAAACCTGTCCCAACAACAGACTGCGGCAAATAGCAACATCGACAACACTCCAAAGAATACTGCACGTACTTCGCACCACTATACACTATAAATATAGACAAAGACGTAGCCTTATACATGAATACAGAGACTTACACACAAACGAAATACGTTTCCCACTTGTGCTGCCTATACTTGCGCTGATAGCAAAAGTCTGCTGCATGCGGTAGCCAAGAAGGCAGGCAATACAGCTAGAACACAATTCACCTTATGCCGATGAGCCTCAGAAGTATACACACACACAACACATCCTGACAAATAGTACGATGCCTTTGCACTGAGATCGCCGCTAACCTCGAAAAGTCGAGTCCTCGCACAGTCCGATCCTAAACCCCAAACCCCTGAACCCTAAAACCCCCAATAGTACCCTTTTAGTAACCCTTATAGATCCCTAAAGGACCCCTAGACTGGACTCCCCCAGGCTGATAGTATACATGCTAGCTCAAGTGTTTTATGCTCAGGTCGTGGTGTGTTTGAGGGTTCGGCTTCAAAGAAACCAGATTTGGTCCTTCAGAAACTCGTCAAAGATGCAGGAAACCAGATTTAATTCTTTAGGATAAGACAACTACTGGTGACGCTTCTTTGCCCGAGACCCTCAACATTCACCCGAGCCCCTGCGACCCTAAGCCGAAACCCAAAAGCTTCCAACCCCAAACCCTAAACTGCAAACCCTAAATGACAGAGGTCAAAAGTTCGGTCAAAAGAGCAAAATCGACCTCGAAGTAAGCTGTGCTACTGCAGACGAGCGGAATCGATATCGATGATGCTTCAACCCTAAACCCTAAACCCGAAGCATTTGCAGTATTTGGCAGCCAACCTTGCATAGTCGGGACAGAGGATCCGGACCGTGCCTTTTCATACAGTACCTTAAGCCGGAATAACCTACCTTTTTAGGGCTCCTCATTATGATTTCCCTATATAAGTCCTTAAAAAGGTAGGGTATTCCGGCTTAAGGTAAGTCTAACCCCCAAAAGAGACCCCGAAGAGAGCTAGAGTTTAGGGTCAAAGTTTAGAGTTCAGGAAATCGGGTCTAGTGCTTTCAGGTTTAGCTCACGGAAACCAGCCTTGAATTGAAGAACCTCGAAAATAGCAGCCTTTGAAGGGGTTTTCGGGAGGCTCCATGGATACTGTTTTAGGGTGGTTGCAGTAATGCGATTCTGAGTCGAGCAAAAAGCCCGAGCGTGCAGCAAACATGCCTGAAATAGACCCTCTGAAGGCATTCTGGGCTGGGTGAAACCTTAATGCACTGACTGGCCGCACTGGTCTTATGTAATTCCAGCAAGCATACAGCACCCCTGAGCCCGCAGTCAAAGCCCAAGCCCCAAAGTCAGAATCATGCGGGCTCCTGCTGCAGTCGCTACATCCGAACATCGCCCTGCAAACGACCTGCCAGATCGTGTGGACTAGAATTTCAGCAAGGCCTCTAGGCTTGTGATAGGTTCCTACTCTTCGGCTTTAATAACACCCTGCTACAAAAAAGGGGAAAAGAGTACTACTCAGTGACCTAGTAGGGTTCCCAGCAGATTGAGATGTGCCAAAGGACTCTGGCCACCACATTGAATTCAGAAATCCTGCAACGGGACGTAAGCTCTGAAGCGTTCACTTCAAGCCCATGTGATGCTGAGACCGAAATCTTGAAACCTTCAGTGTGCTCCTATGAGATTCTCTCAAACCCTTAAAGCCTAAGCCATGCAATGAAAGCCTCCATCTATCTCTCTCTCTCTCTCTCACACACACCGCTGAGCAGTACCTTCCGGATGCCGTCCAAGGAGGCATCTCTTGGTATCTCCACATCGACTTCCCCTTGCAAGGCCTCGCCCGGGCTACGGAGCGTCTAGGCCCCGAACCGTGGAGTAGACGGTGA